TGGGCCGTGGCTGGCGGCAAGCGGTGTGCTGTGCTCGCAGCCGGCCCAGGCAGCCGGCCCAGAACTGGCAGCAGGGCACTCCTGCTGGCAGCAGGCAAGGTGCCTGCCCGCGTCCCAGGTCCCGGCACGCTGCCGCCGCCGCCCCGCTGCGCTGCCCCCGGCTGCCGCGCCGCGCTCACCAGGCCCCACTGCTTTCCATTCGTGTAGAAAGGATCGTTGGGCCTGTAGGGCTCAGGCGGCGGCGGCCGCGGCGGCCGTGGCGAAAGCGGCCGTGGCCGGGGCGGGCGCGGCGAGGGCGGGCGCGGGCGCGGCGGGCGCGGGGAGGGCGGCCGTGGCCGAGGCGGCCGGGGCGGGCGTGGGGAGGGCGGCCGCGGCCGTGGCGGGCGCGGGGAGGGAGGAGCCGACCGCGAGGGTGGCGGCTTCAGCAGTGGGTTGTGGTTCCTGTCTGCCGCCCACATCAGCCCGTCATATTCAACATACTCCACGCCTGCATTTTCCATGGGCGGGCAGGCTTGGGCAATACATACAGGCACGGGCAGGAAGGGGCAGCCAGCGGCGGGCAAAATCACGGGCTGGACGTACCGCTTTGCTGCCGCAGCGCCGCTGCTGTTGCATCCAGCTGAGCCTCCTCCTCCACCTCTACAGTCCAGATGTTGCTGGCGGGCACGACCTGGCGCAGGTTGGTGGTGCCCGACGCCGAAACAGCCACGCTGCCGTCCCGCAGCCGCACGATCAGGCGCCGCGGGTGGCGCCGCCGCCCGGCTGCTGCTGCTGCTGCTGCTGTCGTGGCTTCCTGCACCGTGGCACGGACCACACAGTGGTAATTGTATCATGCATGCACACGACGGCTGGGGCCGCTAAGCTGGGGGACAGCCCGGTGTGGTGGTGATGGGGTGGCAGGCGGCGGCGAGCGGCGGCGGCTGCAGCAGTCGCGCCGGTGGCGCGACGGCTGAAGCCTTACCTGCTGCCCTGCAGCGTAGCCCTCTGTCAGCCATGCAAGCAGCACCGCGAACCACAGGCAGGCCGCGGCCCGCGGCATCCTCTGCTCAGAACCGCCAAGTGCAGAGCCCGGAGACCCCAACACTCGTCAGCCGCACATCCACGCACTGCAAAGCACGGCCATCGCTGGTAAAGTGACCGACCGATGTGTCTATTGCCCCCAGCATGCACGGCAGCGCCGCCGCCGCCACGCCTCTGCAGCTGCACCCACCATTCCTGCCCAGGACCTGGGACGCACGCGGCTCATGCAACAGCTCACAAGGCAGCCCCCCATCTGAGCTCCCTGAGCGCCACCAAAGGGCCGCAGGGCGCATCCGCTCGCTGTCCGCTGCTGGCTGCCGCCGTGTCCAGGTGGGATGCTGCCTTGCATTGCCTCCCATACGACGCGGCCACAGGCGTGGCTGTTTGCAGAACCAACACTGCAGCTAGCAGCATGGAACCCTGTCAAACATCCCCATTGCACATTCTCAAAACTGTTCTCAAAATTGGTGCCGTTAAAAAGAATGTTAGCTTAGGGACGGGCCGGCCTCCCCCTCACTGGCAACGGCCGCGGATGCCTGCCGCCGCCGCCTGCACCCTCGCTTCACGACCAAGACCAGCAGCAGCTGTCGCCTTTAGATGCCCTTGCGGGCGATCAGGGACAGGATGCCCTGAGGCCCCGTCAGGATCTCGGCCAGGAAGCTGAGCAGGGCCACCCACACGATGGGCGACACGTCCAGGCCGTTGAAGGGCGGCACCAGCTTGCGCGTCTGCGCCAGCAGCGGCTCTGCGAGAGGGAGGGCCCAGGGCAGGGGAGGGGCGCAGAGGTGAGGGCTGTCTGCAGGGATGCCAAGGGTGGGTTTTCAGGGGCGGGCGCAGCCGCGTGCCGCATGTGTGTGCCGCGAGCGCCGCACGTCCGTGCACGCCTCCATCCCGAACCTGGCGGGTGGCGCAGCTCAGCTCACCGGTGGGTGTGTAGGCGATGGACCAGGGCAGCGCCTTGCCGTCGATCTCGGGGTACCAGCTCATGACGATGCGCACAATCATGAGCATGGAGGAAAGCGTGAGCACCGGCTTGAGCACACCCGACAGCGCCCCCGCAGACTGGCTGTCCAGCCCCGCAAGCTCGTAGATCGCCTGCGCCGCTGCTGCGGCCTGCGGGTCGGCCGCGGCTGCCGCCAGCGCCGCGCCGGGGCTGCTCACGGCCGCGGCGAGCGCGGCCACGGAGGCTGCTGCGACCGCCGGCGCCGTGTGCCGCCGCTGCTGCCCGGGCTGCTGCTGGGCCGCCGCCCGCACCAGCCGGCGCGGCGTTGGTAGCCGGCATTGACTGCGGCATGATGTGGGTGTCGACAGGGGGCCCAGGGCGGGCGAAGCGAGCAGGTGTGTCATGGTGGGGTGGTAGCGGCTTGCGGAGAGGAGGCCAGGGCCTGTGGTCCGGTGGTGTAGGTGTCCAGGAAAGCCAATGTGGTTGGAGGGTAATGGTTACAGGGCCTGGCGAAGCGCCAAGGGCGAAGCCAGCATGGCCGCCCCTTTCCACCAATTCCAGCTCCCACGGTGCACAAAACCGTTGGATTGCGCGGCATCGCGTGTGTGTGGCCGATCAGTGCGCGATCCACGAAGGGCAGGCCGCCCACACGTAGAATGCCGGCGAGCGCGATCGCGTCTAGTGCCAAACTCTCCTCTTGGACCGGCGCCAGGCCCGTGCTTACAGTCTCCCGATCGCCCAGAGCAACCCGCAGGTGCGGCATTGTGGCTGTGTGGTGGCGGGGCGGCGGGCCGTGCCTGCAAGCGGGCGCCTCCCGCCCGCCCGCTGCGCCCACCCGCCGCCAGCTTGGGACCCGTGCTCCCCGCAGGATGGCGGCAGCTCCAGTCGCCGCCAGCGCTGCTGAATGGGCCAAGCAGGACGAGCGGCGCATGCTGCACGCCGTGGTAAGGACTGGGCATGCGGCCATGGACCATCCTAAGTTGCACGGAATCCCACCTGCCGGCGAGCATTGCTGCGGGGGAGCTATGCCCGCTGCACCTTGGTCAAGCATCATGTGTTCCCTGCCTTGCAGTACCGTGTGGGCGACATGGATGCGACGATCAAGTATTACCAGGACTGGTCAGTGGGGAGATGATGCGCTGCCCGTTTCTTGGCCATGGGCCGCTAGCGACCGTCGGTAGCAGCACGCGTGGTGGCTGGGGCCAAGGCACTGGCTGAGCCATGCTGCTGGCGCGCCTGGCAGCAGACTCGCGCCGCCGCCGCGACTTCCTCCAACTCCCTCCTCCTGCCTGCAGCTTTGGCATGAAGCTGCTGCGCTTCCGGGACATCAAGGAGGTGGGCTGCACCTCCTGCTTCCCTGCTTCCCTGGGGCGCCGCATTCCTGGGGCGCCGCATTCATTCGCCGTGATGGCAGCAACTCCGGCGCTGCCATGCCTGAGCAGGCTGAGAGCCACTGCGCATCTGTGTGATCATGTGTACCGCCTGTACTGCTGCAGGAGAAGTACAGCAACGCCTTCCTGGGGTACGGCCCCGAGGAGACGCACTTTGCCATGGAGCTGGTGAGCAGCTGTGCCGGCTGGCACGCCTCTCCTGCCGGGTGCCCCCGCCCCGCTGCCTCCACGCCTTCCGCAACGAGCCTCTTCCCTGCTTCCCTGCGCCTCCACCCACGGCCCACTGCCGCCACACTGCCGCCCCTCCTTGCCCTCCTCCCTTCTTTGCCCCACCCGCACGGTCCCACCTACTGTCCCGTTTACCACATCTACCTCCTTCCCTTCCCCCTGTCCTCCCTCCTGCCTCGCCGCATCTACCGCCGTCCCTCCCCTCTCCACCGCCCCTGCAGACCTACAACTATGGCGTGGACAGCTATGACCTGGGGGAGGGCTTTGGCCACTTTGGCATCGCCACGCCCGACGCCTACAAGATGGTGGAGGCGGTGAAGGCCAAGGGTGAGGCGTGCGGCTGTGGCTGTGGCTGTGGCGTGGCGTGGCGTGGCGTGGTGGGTTTCGGTGTGATGTGTCGTGGCGTGGCGTGGCGTGGTATGGCGGGGTGTGGGGTGGTGTGGTGTATTGTGGTGTTGGGTCGGGAGGTCGGCAGGGCTGGCATCTGTGCAATGAGGCGTAGGGCTCCTGACCCTCAGCACTCCATCAAGCGCTTGTCCTCCCAACCAACCACCATCCACAAACCACTCCAGCACACCAACCCACCTGCCTGCCTGCCCACCACCCGCCCCCAAACACTGCGCGCGCAGGCGGCCGCGTGACTCGTGAGCCGGGGCCGACCAAGGGCGGCAAGACGGTGATTGCCTTTGTTGAGGACCCTACTGGCTACAAGTTCGAGCTGATCCAGCGGCAGACAGAGATACCGGAGCCGCTGGCGCAGGCGGGTCGCCAGGGCCGGGGCGCCGGCGCTTGTGGCTGCGCCTTTGTGTGCTGGGCTGGGATGTTCTGGGCTGGCTGGCCGGCTGGCTGGCTTGCTCGCACGCGGGCTGCTGCTGCCGCTGCTACGTGGGGACGCCGGATGCTGCGCTGCGGGCTGCTCGGTGCGCGGCAGCGTGCCTGCGTCGCTTCTCATGCCTAGCATTGCTGGCTCGGCTGGTGCAGGTGATGCTGCGGGTGGGTGACCTGGACCGCAGCATCAAGTACTATACGGGTGGGTGGGGTCGTGGGGCTGCCTGGAGGCGCCGCGGGCTTGCTTCCCGGCGCTGGTGCTGTGCGTTGCCAGAAAGGGTGGCGCTACCTGCACACACCGAGCCCGTCCCCTGTGGTGCTTCGCCTCCCCGTTCGTGCTCCACCCTGCCTGCTCGCTCTGCCTCCTGCGCCTGCACGTGCTGCTTGCAGAGGTGCTGGGCATGCGGCTGCTGCGCACGCGGGACAACCCGGAGTACAAGTACACGCTGGCGTTCCTGGGTGAGGCGGTACAGTACCACTATGTAATGCCTTACACTGCCTGAACCCTAAGGGTGGTGTCTACACAGCAGCGCTGGAGCTGCTCGGTCGCCCTTCTGCCTCGGCTGCCGGCCAACCTCTGCCACTCTTGGTCTTGCTGCCGCGGCCGGCTGCATGTCGCAGGGTATGGGCCGGAGGAGAGCAGCACGGTGTTTGAGCTGGTGAGTGGCGGGGCGGGTGGTGGGCGGCGAAGCTCTGACGCTGCATCGCCCTCCCCAACCGCCGCCTCTCCCGCCGCCTTAAACTCGCTTACACACTGCCCTACACCATGTGAGCTGCCCTGCTGCCCACCAGCCCCTCTGGATGGCTCAGCTGCTGCCCCGCCTCGCCCCCCCACCAACAGACCTACAACTATGGCAAGGACAGCTACACCAAGGGCAACGCGTACGCCCAGGTGGCGATCAGCACGCAGGTGGGCGCAGGCGCTGGCGCAAGGCGCGAGTGCAAGGCCGTGCAGCCTGTCGTGCGCTTCCCAGCGCGCTGCCGCGCGGCGCAGGGACCCTCCTGCGCCCCCAAAGCCAGGCTCGCCTCTCCAACTTGTCTGCCGACACACGCACGCATGCACACACACGCCCCATCTCCTGCCGCTATCTCTCCTGCCCACCCGCCCACAGGATGTGTACAAGACCGGGGACCAGATCAAGGCGGCGGGTGGAACCGTGACGCGGGAGCCGGGGCCCGTTCCGGGCATCGGCACCAAGATCCTGGCCTGCACCGACCCAGGTGGGTTTGCAAGGATGGGCGTGGGAGCGAGGGGTGTGCAGTGTGCAACATGGGGAGAGGGCGGCGCGCGGCCACAGCCGCAGGCTAGCCGGTGCCTACTCATCTCCCCATGCCGCCTGCCGGGAGGCACCCATCACCCTGCCACGTCCTGGCCCCCCGAGCCTCCCCGACTCCCTGCGTCTCAACTGCATGGAGTGCAGACGGCTACAAGATCGTGCTTGTGGACAACGAGGACTTCCTTAAAGAGCTGGAGCAGAAGTGAGAGAGGGCAGCGTGAATGGGTTCGAGCGGGAGCGAAGAGCGTTTACGCATATAAAGTTCCGATCGTCAGCTAGACCGTGGCATGGACAGCGTCTTATCTGCTTGCTCCCCTGCTGGCAGCTGGTTGTAACAGTGACTGCATTGAGAGCTGAACACCGTCAGGTCGTGCGGAGGGCCGACGCGGTGGCCGCCGTGGCCGCTGCCCGCCGGGCGTCACCGCCGCCGCCGTGGAAGCCCTGAGGACACACACATCACACGTGAGACGTGCGCCCGCTCTTGACGATCAATGGCAGCAAGATTTGGGACAAGCCGTTTCTTGCGGACTTTCTTTACCATTTTAGCCGAGTCAGCTGAGGCATGGCACAGCCTCTGGCTACCTGCCTGAGGCAAGAGCAGCAGGCACACAGCCAATTGAGTACAAAGCCAGAGCCAGACCAGGGCTGTGCTCTGCTGCCTCACGGCAGCCGCACCAGACTGCCTCGTCGTGGTGACCATGAGGGGCGGCAAGAGGATAGCCTGGCAGCCGCAGCCTCCCACTCACCAGGCGGTGGCTGCGGCACTGACAGTCGCCACCGCGGAGCCCCAGCCGCCGACCCCCCGCCGCAGCAGCGGACGCAATTGCAAGCGCCGAGCAGAGTGGGAGGTCGAGGTTGATGCCGAGCCGGAGCCGGAGCCAGCGGTGCCGCTGCAGGCTGCCGCCGCTCCCCGCCAGCCGCGCCGCCGCAAGAAGGCGCGGCGGGTGGTGTCGCTGGAGGAGCCCGAGCCCGAGCCAGCCGTGCCGCAGCCGCCGACGCCGCCCGGCCTCGCCGCAGCCGCCGCGCACGACGCCGAGCTGCGCCCCGCCCCCTGCGCGGGCTGCCCGCTGTACACGCTGCCGGGCGGCGTGACTGTGGCCGTTGTCAGCCGGCAGGAGCACCTGGCGCCAGCTCTCATGCTGCTCAGGGATTCCATGCCCACCCCATACATCGCTATCGACCTTGAATGGCCCTCCACGGATGTGCCAGCATACTCCCACTCCTTCCAGGGGGTGGCCCTGGTGCAGCTGGCCAGCGCAGACACATGTGTACTGGTGCGCCCCCGCCGCACCCTCCCAGGAGCCAGCTGCCTGCGCTGTGCTGCCTGGGCAGGCCTGCCGTGCTGTCGGGCAGCCACTCGGCAGGGATGCGTGCTGCAGAGGTCGCACTGCTATGCCTGCAGGTGCGCACGTGCCTACTGGGCTTCCCGCGAGAGCTGTCCAACTTTCTGCGGTGCGCCTCGAGCAGCCGCTGCATGCATGGGGTGCCTCCCCGCCTCCCTGCAAGCTCGCCTCACTGCCACCGCCGGATGCTCTTGCCTCCGCACCTGTACCTGCCGGCCGTCCCACGCAGCAGCGCCTGCCACTGCTCCCCTCAATCTCCCACCCTCTGGCTGCAGGGACCCCAGCATCTGCTTCATCGGCATGCACTGGGGCACCCAGGATGCGGACAAGATGCATGACAGCTTTGGCTGGCACCACTGCGACTTCCACGGCGGCTTTGTGGATGCAGGCACGCGTGCAGCTGCTGCCTGAATGTTGCCCCAGCGTCGGGCGCCAGGGCTCTGCCGCCATGGACCCCACATGCCTCCCCCCAATCGGCTGCCTGATGGCCTGCTCTGCTCCTGCTGCCCGCCCCGCCTGCAGGCAGCATGGCCAGGCAGGCGGGCTACCCCAGACCGGGGCTCAAAGGCATGGCTGAGAGCCTGTTTGCCATCGACCTGCCCAAGAGCAAGAAGGCGAGAACTTATTTTTGGAAGAGGGTGCCCGCATGCGCCAGGGGCCTCGGGCTGACAGGGCCACTGAAGAGGGACTGAGCTTCTCTGAGCAGGAGGCAGCGCTCCGCAGGAGGGGCCCCAAACTGATGCAGCCATTCTCCACACCCTGCCGGGCCTTACCTGCCTGCCAGTCTGCCCGCCTGACCAGGTCACGCTGTCCAACTGGGCGGCGGCCAGCCTGAGCGGCAGCCAGGTCCGCTACGCCGCCCTGGACGCCCTGTTCACCTTCCACATCTACGAAGCACTGGCCGCCGCCGCCGACGCCAACAGCTGACATTCCAGGGGTCCATCTCAGTTCAATGCAGTTGCAAACAACTTGCCAAGCCTTCCGGGATGGCCGCACTGAGGATCCGTTAGTTAGCCAGCATTGGCGTTACAGTATCTGTTACTAAGTTGGGAATGAGCTCATCGCCGGTGCGCTTTGGTTCTGCTCTGCGAATGTGTAACTTGGTTGCCACCAGTCTGTGCTGACAACAGGGTCGTCCGTCAATGCCTCAGGATGGCAGTGGCCTGGAGCTCACGCGGCCCGGCTCGGCGTCAGCCTCCCAGAGCGCCGCGGCGGGCCAGGGGCAGGTCCGGAGCGTCTCTTCGCGGCCTGCCGGCCCTGCCGTCCTAGCTGGCGCCGTTGGTCCCGCCGCCGCTTGCCCAGAACTGCAGCCGCGTGCGGTGATGGCAGGCAGGCAGGTGATGGCAGGCATCTTATAAACGGGCAACAGAGAACCGCCAGATGCAGCCGAACCCGAGCTGCGGCCCAGACACACACGCAAGGTGCGGGCCTACCGGCTATGGCAGCGCGCGACGCGGCGCACCCGGTGCCTCCTCTCCCCTCTCTGCCTCCTGCCCCTCTGCCGCCTTCAAATTCTCGTCTTCCTCGGCACCACTGCTGCTGTCTTCAGACTCCTCCGGCCCGCCCTCAGAGTCGGAGTCAGAGTCGGTCACCTCCTCAATCTCCACCCCCGGCCACTGCACAAAGCCGGTGCAGGCCAGCTCCTGCTCCGCCTGCACAGCACAGGCATGAGCAGCAGCGCGGGGGGGCTCAGGAGCTGCTGATCAACAGGCTGCAGTCACGGCGCACGACGCGGCGCGGCACCGCGTCAGGCTGCTGCCACCTGCTGATGGCAGCTCGCCTGTGCTGCGGTTGATGTGGTTGCTGTCAAGCTGGCGCAGCATGCAGGCGTGCCGGGCATCATGCCACCGGGCGCACATGCGCGCCCAGGCTGAGGAGCTGGTGGCTGCAGCAATGGCAGCGCATGTGCATGGACTTGCCCCCCTGCAGCAGGCCCACCTCCTCCTCGGTGACCAGGCACGCATCCAGCGCAGCGCTCAGCGCCTCCTTCTGCAGAATCGGGCGAGGGAGGCTCACACGAGGCGAGGTGAGGGTGTCCCGTTGCATGCACATGAGTAGGAAGGCACTCGCTGCCCGCCGACCCGCAGCCACAAGCCAGGTGGACGCGTCTGGGCCTGGCAGCCAAGCCGCCGCTGCTCAGCGCCACGCCCTTTGCCCCACCACAGCGCCCAGCGCACACGCCGCCGCCCACCTTGAGGCCAATGCCGATGAACACCAGCTCCTGGCGGCGGTCTCCCACCTCTGGGGCAAAGTCAGCCCGCACCTTGGCCGGCTGTGCACAGGATTAGGGGGCAGGGCAGGCGCCAGGGCAGCTTGATCTGGCGTGCCGGCCGGCAGGGGAGCGCTGGCATCGCGAGCACAGCACAGCACAGCACAGCACAGCTCAGCACAGTGAGGCATGCCGCAGCAAGCCACGGCACAGCACGGCACAACCCTGCTGCAGCCCAGCCTCACATCCACATCCGGCCACAGCTCCTCAGGGATGGCGGCAAACCAGGGGCTGCTGGGGCTGCACGGGACGGGAGGGGGCACGTAGCTGCTTGAGAGGTGCTGAGCATGCGGCTAGCCCCGCCCAACAGGGATGGCAACTTGCTTGGTGAACAGGGGTTGCTGGTCAACAGAAACAATAAAGCAGCATCCCTCCGAGGAGGTCCCGGTGGTCGCCTGCTTGCAAGGCAATTTCCAGCGCTGTGGGTAGCTGGGAGCAGGCAGTGCACCTGATGCGGATCACCGCGCCCGCCTGGCTCCACTCCCCGCTCATCTCGTCGCGCCCAGCCAGCCACAGGAAGCCCTTGCTGCGCAGCACCTGCGGGGAAGGGGCCAAGATCGAGCTCAAGGCCATAGAGCACTCGTTGTGGCTGAGAAAGAAGCAGCATGCAGCCAAAGGTAGGTGCGGCTCGCTGACAAGCAGCTGCCGCCTGCCGCCATCCCCTGCCCGCTGAACTCCTCCCGCGTCACCTGGCCAAACTTGCGGTGCAGCTGGGCCTGCCGCGCCTGGGCCTCCTCGGCGCTCACTGGCTCCGACACAATGGCCGCCACTGCAGCGCACCAAGCGGGGGGTCGAGTGGGCGATGCTTGCGGCGGGAACACCGGAATGCGGTACCATGCACGGCTGGCAGCAGCGTGCACGGCACGTGCAGCATGGCGTCGCACAGTGGACACATTCGGACGCACCTGGCCCAGCCTCGCCCTCGGAAGCCTCGCCCTCCTTCTGCTGTCCCTTGCCCCCCTCCCCGGTCTCCTGCCCCTCCTCCCCGTCTTCCTCCTCCTCCTCCTCAAGGCTTTCCACCTGCTGCACCGCCCAGTACCGCCGCAGCATCTGCCACAGGCGGTCAGGATGGAAGGGCCGCCGAGCCCTGCGCTCCACCCACCCGGCAAGCACGGCAGGTCCGGTGAGGCAGGCAGAGGATCAGGCAGGCAAACAAGGCAGGCAGGCAGGCAGGCAGGCAGCTACGACACGGAATGCAAGGAGCAGCAGGCTGGGCAGCGCCACCTGTACACGAAGCTGGCGATCCCATACTCCTCTGTCTCCGGGGTGTGCGCCTCCTTGAGCGACTGCAGCCAACCGGCGGCCTGCAGGCGGGAGACGGGAGCGGTGCCGGGCAGAGGCGCCATCCGGGTTTGAGGGCTCGAGAGGGCACCGAGGGGGGCACCCAGGCAGCCGGCCTCGGGCACGGCGAGCACCAGGCACCGAGCATGCGCCCTACGCGGGGGGTGCTTGCAATTGCTGCTGCAACGTGGGCAGCTGCTCCAGGGTGCGGCTGGCTCCCGCCGCCAACCAACCTCTGCTGCCTTGTCGATGTCGAAGCGCCCAGTGCCCACCACCTCTGATAGGTCCACCCGGGCCTGGGTGGTGGGCAGGATGCGCGCGCCGGGGTTGAGGCGGCGCAGGAAGGCAGCCAGCGTCAGGCGCTCTGCAGGGCAGGTGGCGGGGGAAGGGGAGGCAGGGTCGACAAGGTTCCGGCAGCAGTCAGTTGAGGGGGCAGTTGGGGCTCGTGTGCAGTGGAGGACAGCGCACGCTGACTCAGCACCACGTCAGCGCCGTACCGCGGCGCCTCCCCACCCACCTGCCTCCTCTACCAGGTCTGTCTTGTTCAGCAGGATCACGTCGGCAAACTCGATCTGCAGGCGGCATGCGCACCAGGGGGCCGTCCAAGGGGACGCTGTCAAGGGCGTGCTGGGCGAGCGGCTGCGGGAAAGAGCACCAGCAGGTGGCGGGACCATGCTGGAAGCTGCGCGGCACCTGGTCCAGCAGCAGGTCCGCCACGTTGCGCTCGCCGCCCGCCGCCTCGGGCCCCTCACGGTCCTGCCGGTACCGACCCCGGGCACAAGTGCGGGCAGGTCATGACTGATCGGCGGCAGCCGGGGTGCCAGCGCGGGCAGAGAGCAAGCACAGCACAGCACAGCACAGCACAGCACAGCACACCACAGCACAGGACAACACAGCATGCGATTCGCGGGTACAGGCGGCAGCGGTGGCAGCTGCCCCACCGCCACCGTCTCGATGCTGGCCATGTTGAGAAGCAGGTTGGTGGCATCCACCACAGTAACACACGTGTCCAGGCGGGCCAGCTGGAGGGCGGGATGTGTGGGCCAGGGCCTCGTGAGGGGGCAGCCAAGGGTAACGTCTGGGCGGTGGCACCCTCAGTGCGGCAATTGCAAGAATTGGATTGGCATGAGGCGCGCCCTGCAGCCCAGCTGGCTCTGCTGCCCACTGTGTGGCATACCCGATGGCTGACACAGGGATCCCTCCGGTGCAAAACTGACAAAGGCCGCCGTGCATGCGAAGAGTCCCACCTCTTTGAGCGGCGAGGCGCCCTCTGATGGCGGCAGCTCGAAGGTCTCCGCCACCTGCACACAGCACGCGCCCCGGCCAGAGTGCCGCCTGGGTAGGTACTAGCAAGTCGGGTCGGGTCGGTTGCGGCGGCAGAGGTGGTGGTGAGGTGCCAGCCGCCCCAGCAATGCATGGCTGCCCAGCGCTGCGCGGCGGTGGCAGCCCCTCGGCCGCTGCCGCAGCCGCTGCCGCTGTGCCTACGCTGCCACCGGCGCACCTGCTGCGGCTCGCTGATGCCTGTCGACTCGATGACCAGGTAGTCAAAGCGCCCCTCCCTCGCCAGCTGGGATACCTCCTGCTTATACGGCGCAACACCATTCTGTCGGCAGGCAAGAGTGGCTGCTTGCATGGCGGCGCGTCTGTATGCAGGGTGCACAGCTGGACTGCCATTGCTGCTTCCACCGCCTGCCCCCAGCGTGCCTGCAGCAGGTCGTCCCGCAGCGTGCAGCAGATGCAGCCGTTCTGCATCTCCACCAGCCGCTCCTGGGTCTGCAGGGCAGGGCAGGGCAGGGTGGTTGGGGCAGGCACGTGGCAAAGGCAAGAAGGCACCCAGGCGGCGACGCCCCCTGTCGCCCGCTGGTACGGATGGCTGCTGGCTGCTGGGCATGTGCCCAGTGAGTAAAGAGTAAAGCGCCAACTAGGCAGCCTTCCCGAGCACCTGGATGAGACCGCCCTGCTTGACCAGGGAGGCGTCGATGTTGAGCTCCGCCATGTCGTTGACGATCACGGCGCACCTGCAGGGGATGTGGGGCGGCAGCCCGTGCCATCACCATGATGGCGGCGGCAGCGACGGAACTCCTGTCCATCATCTGTGTCCATCCCTCCTGAACATGCCATCCACAGCATACCTCAGGCCTTCCTTGTTCTTGAGGATGTGCTGCAGCAGGGTTGTCTTGCCGGCGCCCAAAAAGCCGGAGAGCAGGGTGACCGGCAGCGGCACGCCTGGGTGGCCCGCCTTCGGGTCCTCCTCCCTCGAGGTGCGGGCGGCGCGCGTCTCAACCATTGCAGTCCTGCAATGAATGGATCAGCGCGGTTGGGGGCTTCAAGCGGCCAACTTCGGAGAGGAAGACATTGTTGGGCATGCATGGCTCCCCCAACAGACGCTCACCGCGTCCTTCGGTGGGTGATCGTTGACGAAAGATTCGCACGCCAGGCGCCGGAAGACACTTCTCCTCCTGTTTCTCTTTCCCGCACTGTACTATCCCCAGTTTGCTGTCCCCAGGGTGGTGCCGGGGACAGAGAACAGGAGAGCCAGGAAAGCTGCTTTCAGAAGTCAGGCGCGCGCTTACGCCAATAAAAACGACCGTTGCGCTCTTCAGCGCTTCTTGAGAGGGCTCCAGGGGTGCCTCCACCGCCGACGCCCCGTCCCCGGCGCGGGCTGGGCGCCGCCCTTTGCACCGCTCACGCTCCACATTGCTGAGCTGCCCACTTCAGCCTCTACACAGCTCCTACACCGCCTTGGCAGATGGACAAGGAACAGAAGACAGAACTGCTGTTGTCTTGCCGCCACCACCGTCTGCTGTTTCCTTACAGAAGATGAGGGGAGTAGTCAGAAGTCGCTGAGAGAAAGGAGTACGAGATGGTAACTGAGGAGAAGGGAGGATGGGGTAACATCACTGGGAAATGAATGAACAGTGATCACACGGCAGCCAGAGGGGCCTCCTGCTCTTCCTTGCTTGCCGCGTCGCTGTCGCTGCCAGTTGCCGCCGCCGCCGCGGCGGCCGCCGCCACCAGCGCCTTGCGCTGCTGCTTCTTGCTGGGCTGCCGCGGCTCCTGCTGCTGCTCCTCCTGCTGCTGCTGCTGCTGGGCGCCGTCCTCGCCGCCGCTGCCGCTGCTTGCCGGCTCGCGGGCCGCCTCTGCTGCCGCTCCACGCCGCCGCGCCTCCAGGTGCACCAAGAGGTTTGAGATGTCTGAGGGGTTCACCCCCCCGATGCGGCTGGCCTGGCCGATGTCGCGCGGCCGGATCCTGCGGCACGGCAATAGGGCAGGTTGAGCGGCGGAAGGAGCAGGGCAGCCCAGCCGGGGCACGCCGCACAGGCGCCGGCCCGCTCACTTGCTCAGCTTCTCCCGCGCCTCCATGCTGAGCGTGTGTATGGCGTGGTAGTCCAGGGTGTCTGGGATGCGCTTTGCATGCTTTGCCGCCACGCTAGCCAGCTGCTTGGCCTGGCGCCTGATGAAGCCCTCGTACTTGATGTCCACCTCCACCGACTCCTTCTCAGCCGCCGTCAGCGCCGCGGGTGCCTGCTGCAGGCCGCCGGCCGCTCCTGGCTCCGCCAACGCTGCTGCTTCTGCTTCAACTGCTGATGCCCCTGCTGCCGCTGCTGCGAAGCCCGCCTCGCTGCTGCCGGGCGCCGGCGCTGCTGTCGTCGACTCCTCTGCTGCTGCAGGCGCGTCGCTCGCCTCGCTGGCCGCCACTAGCGGGGGCGCGCCCATCCCATGCGCCTCCAGTAGCGGGTAGTGCACGTGCGGGCGGCGCAGCAGGTCTGCCAGCGTCACCAGCGGCGGCACCGTCTGGCTACTGGCTGCCTCGGCCGCCGCCGTCAGCGGGTGGCCGGCCGGCACGCGCGCCGCCTCCAGCCGCCGCCGCTCGCCGTCGATGCGTGCCTGCTTGGCCTGCGCGAGCGACGGCAGGGTAGGGGGCCACAAGGGCCAGAGGGAGGGAAGGGTGGATACAAGGCAGGCAATCAGGCGCGTGCGACGTACGAGCATCCCAGGCGCACAGGGGCGGGGGCCTCAACTGGCCGGCAGCAAATGAGAACCCGGTGGCAGCAGCGGCTGTGGCGACTGTGGGCTGGGGTTGACCCGTGCCGAGGCTCATACCTGGAACAGGCCCCAGCGCCGGTCGTCCACCAGTCCCAGCTGGCGCCCCAGCGGCGTCAGGCGGCGGTCGGCGTTGTCGGAGCGCAGGACCAGGCGGTACTCGCTCCTGCGGTACATGTAGTACAATTTGGCAGTACATTTCAACTCCAGCCACTGCACCTTGTCCTGACCCCAGCCAGCTACCCACAACACAGCCCAGCTCCCGGCAGGCACGTCTCAACTTCCGAAATGGATGCCTGCACCGGTGGCAACACAGCAGTACCCCGGCAGTACTGCGGCAGTACAAGTACCTGCTGGTCAGCATGCGGTACGGCTCCCGCAGGTCCTTGGTCACCAGGTCGTCCAGCAGGGTACCAATGTAGCTAGACTCCCGCGGCAGTACCACCGGCGGCAGCTCCTGCGCCCTGCGCGCCGCGTTGAGCCCCGCCACCAGCCCCTGCGCCGCCGCCTCCTCATACCCTGCGCGTGGGGAGCGGGGAGGGGAGCATGCGGAGGCGGGTGGAGGTGCAGGGGTTGCCGGAAGCGTGCACCAGCGTCTTCCAGACGAAGAGGAAGCATTCTGGGGTGCCATGCCCGAGCAGAAGGCCTCATGCCGCCCGCCCGCCGTTCCCCACACACATGGCCTCCACCACAAGCACGCCCACTTGCACATGCTGGACAGCTCCCGACCGGAAGGCATGCTTGCCTGTGGTGCCGTTGAGCTGGCCCGAGAAGAAGAGGCCTCCCACGCGCTTGGTCTCCAGGCTGGCGTGGCACTGGTGGGCAGGCAGGTAATCATATTCCACTGCAGGGAATGAAGAAAAGAGGGAGGGGAGGAGGTGGGGATGTAAGCAATGTGTGTGAATGTGGTGGCGTTGCTGGCGGTGCTATGGGACGGAGGCGGGGTGGCAGTGGAGGGAGCAGGAAGCGCAGGGCCCGCGCCCGCGCCGAGCCTGGCCAGGCCCACAGGTCTGGGCGCAGGCGCTCACCCGCGTAGGCGGGGCGCAGCATCTTGCACCGCTCCAGCCCCGGCAGCGAGTGCAGCAGCGCCAGCTGGAGCCGCTCCGGCAGGCCGGTGCTGAAGCCCTGCGGGGAGGCGAGCAGGTGGAGGTGGAGGTGGAGGCGGACATGGTGTGCGAGGGTGGGTGGCTGGTTGGCGGCAGGTTAACGTTAACATAGCGGGGCCAGCGGGCGGGGCAGGGCAGTCAGGCATCGAAGCCGGACGGCAAGACGACATGCAGGCTGCGCAGCAGCTGCGCTGCGCTGCACTGCCCAGTGCCGCTGGGCCCACACCTGCACATACAGCTCGGGCGTGGAGCGGCTCTCCGGCTCGAGGAAGACCTGCAGGCACCCCAGGCAAGCATGGTGCGTGTGTGCGCCACCGGCTGCCACCAACCTAGTAGCCACGCCGCCTACCCCCGCGGCAGCACCCCCGCGCACGGGCGACAGCGTCTGTGTCACGTCTGTCGCGGCCTGCGCTGGGCAGGCACCAGCCGGGCTCCCCTCTGCCACTGCCCGGCAGCGCCGCACCTGGTGGCTCTCCTTGTCCGCAAATCGCACAATCTTGTCCTCGATTGAGGGGCAGTAGCGCGGGCCCTTGGCATCCAACCAGCCGCCGTACACGGGCGTCTCGTGGAGGTTGTCCTGCGGGCGGTACGAGTGGCGGTACGGGTGGCGGTACGAGCAGCCCAGGGGTGAGAGAAGGGAGGCAAGCAGAGGGCGGGGCCGGGAGCGTACGTGCAGGGCAAGGCGCAGCTGTGGTGGGCGCGTGGCGTGCAGCCGCCACCGAACCGCCGCCGCCGCATGCATGCACCCCGCCGCCGCGCCTGCCGCTGTCAGCTGGCAGGCTGCCGCCATGCAGCGAGCCCCGCCGCTCACCCGCAGGATGCGGTGCGTCTCTGCCGTGGTGTGGGTGAGGTGGCAGGGCAGCTGCGGACGCGGGCGGTGCACCGCGGGGTCAAAACTGAACCACCGCACCTCCTCATCGCCGGGCTGCTCCTCAAGGCCTGTGAAGAGCAGGCGGGGTGCGTGGTGTGCCGTGTTGGGATGGCAATGCAGCTCAGCCGGCGGTACGGGGGTCCCCGCTGGCAAACTGCAGGCAGGCGGCCGCGCTGCAGCTCCCTCCCTGCCTGCCACCCCGGCACGCACACGCTGCATGCCCACCCACCGGCAAAGTTGACAGTGCGCTTGTCCACGCGGGCGGGCGTCCCGGTCTTGAGCCGGTCCGTCTCAAATCCCAGCTCCATCAGCCGCTCGGTGAGGCCTGTGGAGGCGGCCTCCCCGGCCCGCCCCGCAGACATCGACTGCCGCCCCACCCAGATCTGCAGGCGGCGGCGGCGGCGCGGTTGGGGCAGCAGCGACAGCAGGTGCGTGAACAGGGGCATGCTGCTGGTGCTGTATTGCCTCAGCGGTACGGCAGCATGCACAAGCCAGGCAGCCCCCACACCGGCCATCCACCCAGCTCGCCACAGCCCACCGCGGCCCAGCCAGCCAGCCAGCCAGCCAGCCCGGCAGCCCGGCATGCCGTCCCCACCTGCCCGTTCATGAAGGTGCCTGTTGTGAGCACGGCGGCCTTGCAGGGGAAGGTGATGCCAAAGAAGGTGGACACACCGCACACCTGGATGGTGGGGAAGGAAGAAAGTTGGGTGAGTGGGTGTGTGGGTATGTGGGTGGCTGTGGCGGTGATGGAGGGCGGAACAGGCGACGGGGAGGACAGTGGACCAGTGGCAGCACACACCTGGTCGTTGCCATCCACCTCCACACCCGTCACCATGCCTGCAGAGGCGGGACGGCAGGGGGGTGAGGTCAGGGGGTGGGCGGCACGTGCCATCCCTCCTGCGCCCCCCGATTGACAAAGGCCCGCCGGCAACCGACAGCAGGCCTTGCCCAGCCACCGCCACACACCGCCAAGGCGCACACCTGCCACCGGGACTGCTGCCACCGGGACTGCTGCCACCAGCAAGCAGGGCAGCAGCATGTGGCATGAATAGTGCAGCGGCAGCACAGGGAGGCGCTGGCTGCAGCGGGCCGGCCCACCTTCGCGGATGAAGAGGTTGGGGGAGTGCTCCAGCACGCGCCGCATGCCGGCCGCATACTCGATCTTGTCGGTCTGCGCGCGCAGCGCCCACACCGCGGGGCCCTTGGAGTGGTTGAGCACCCGCTTCTGAAGGTAGCTGCGGCAGGGAGGGGGGCGCGGTGGGGAGTGGGTGGTGTGGGCGTATGCGCAGCATGCGTCGGCATGGGAAGAGCGAGGTGGCGAGGCACCGACGCCGCATCCCATCCGGCCGCCGCCAGCGACAGCCGGCCCCAGCCATGCGGCAATGTGGGGGGCGCTGCCACATGAACCCACATGCAGGCCATCCACACAAGCACCCGCCTGCGCGCGGCGCACCGCGCCGCTCACCAGCGGTCGGCCATCTTTCCAATCTCGCCCCCCAGGGCATCCACCTCATGCACCAGCTGGCTCTTGGCGGGCCCTCCCACCGCCGGGTTGCACGGCTGCCACGCGATGCGATCCAGGTTGAGCGTCAGCAGCAGCGTCTTGCAGCCCAGGCGGGCAGACGCCAGCGCGGCCTCGCAGCCGGCGTGGCCACCACCCACCACCACCACATCGTACGCCTCCTCGTGATGGTCGGCCCAGCTGTCGGAAGAGCTGGCGGTGGTGGCAGTGCTGGAGGTGGGGGGGGTGGCAGTGCTGCCAGCAGGAGCGGCGGCAGTGGCATCGGCGGCAGAAGGCGGGTCGCCGCTGCCGCTAGCACCGTTGCTGGGGCTGCTGGCTTCAGCGGAGGCAACCTGCAGGATGCCAAGAGGGCTCATGACAACTGTGGCAGAGGGCAGCAGAGGGGGGCGGCGCCGGGCTGCGGCGGCGGCGCCAGCAGCGCCCTCACCACTCCAGCTCGGCGAGCTGCGGAGCGCCTGAGGCGTTTCTGCAAGGCGGTAGGATCCTGCTGGCGGGGCCGCACAGAAGCCGCGACCGGCTGGGGTGCTGCCGGCCGCAAGGCGCTCGAGCTTTGCGACGGCAGCAGCGGTACTGCTGCCTTCATGGCGCCCAGCATTTACAGGCACAGCCGAGCTGATTTTTATAGGCCCGGCTACAAGCGCTGCCGTGTGGAATGGGCGCTGGAGTTGGGCCTTCCGCGAGGGTGTGGCCGTGAAACGACGCAATTATTACTGTGCTCTCACAATGTAAACGCATGCAAACGCGCAACACTTCCATCCAGGCAGAGGCGGCCGCCCCGCCCAGGTGGCCGCCCAGGTGGCCGCCCCCGCCCGCCCGCCAAGGCGCCCCAATGGAATCTTGCGCAAAATCCAGGCGTTTGCAGACACCTGGAACACCTAGAGTGCCTTGCCGTGGCTCACTCCTCAACGATTTCAACTGCACACCAGCTCGCCCACAAAGAAGCAGGTCGCAGCCAAGCCTCTCCCATCACAATCCTTTGCACCACCACAGCGGGCTGCCGCATGCGATACAAAAGTTCTACCTACACTGTGCAGTGCGCGGGAAGCCCTGTTGCAGCTCCCGGCGGGGCAGCAGGCGTGTGCCATCACGCTCGCAGCAGGCGGCGGGCGGGCGCGGGCGCCGGCGCGGGGGTGGCTGCCGCGTCCAGGGAGGTGGCAGAAACAGTGGAGGATGGCGCCGGGCAGGCTGTCATCGCGGTGATGGTCAGCAGCACGCTGTAGGTGGCCTCGGCGTACGCCTGCAGGGCGGGGAGCGGCAGGCGGCGTTGCGGCGGTGCAGCGCCCCGCAAGCTGCTGCCCATGCACGGCTCGCGGCAAGGGAGAGTTGCACACGGCAGGCCGCGGCGGCGGCGAGGGCCCCGGCAGTACCAGCGATACCGCTGCAGCGGCGGTACCGGCGGCGCACCTTGAGCTCCGCGATCTCGTCGCAGATCCCCTCGATCACCAGCTCCATGTCGTCCTGGGGGTAGGCGGAGCCCCAGTTCTGGCCCGAGCTCACGGGCAGGCTGCAGCAGGTGCGGGGCAGCGACGCGGCGGCAGGAGGCTGGCGTTGAGCGAGGGCCAAGACATCGCGCGCACCAGGTGCTCATGGCAGTCCCCAGCGCTGTGCACAATCCTCAGCAAGCACGGCGCTACGGGCTGCTGCGCCGCCGGCTACAGTACCACACCCATCACCAACCCACGCAATGCCTGCCATGCGTACCCACCGACCGACACCCACCCCGCCCCCATGCATGCGCCCGCGCCCACCCACCTGGGCACCGTCATCTGGATGCGCTGTACCAGGGTATTGGCCTGCATCACAAGGTTGTCCCAGTCCGCCTGGCCGGTGGAGCTCCACCCAATCTGCGGGGTCAGCCGTGGGGGAGGCGGCGCAAGTGAGGGGATGAGCGGGTCAGGTGCCAGGGGCAGGTGGCGAGCACTGCCGGGTGCGCAGGATAAGCCAGGGAGCCCACTCACGTTCCACCACAGGTTGGCCACGCTGCAGGTTTGATGGGGAGGAGGGAGAGGGAAGGGGGTTTGGTCATCAGCGGCGGGAAGCAGGCGACCATGCTGCCTGCATGCTGCCTTACTGCCGCGCCCTCCTACTCCCTAGAACAGAACATGCTGCGTGACCCGATCCCACCTGTTGATGGAGTTGAAGATTTCGTCCAGCATGGCCTGGCTCTCTGGCAGGGCGGCGCCCTTGACGTTGGACACCTGCGGCAGCCGGGAAGGGAGGCAGCCCTGCGCGGCGGGGGGTGCTCAGTACACCGGCACTCCAGCGCGCATTGATCCCTCATGTTGATGCATGCAGCATCCACCTTTCGCTGTCCCTGTCATCATACATGCTGGACCTCGCAGCTCGCAGCAGCATTGCCACAGGCTGCCAGCAGGGCGACGGGCGGCGCACGCACGGGCGGGCATGGCGCCCGGCCTCCGCCCCCTAGGCCCACTCACGATCAGAGACATATCGTTGACGAAGGACTGGACCTCCATGGGGTCCGTGGAAGGCTGGCCTGCAGCGGGCAGCACATGGCAGCCCACTCAACCGCCGGCAGCCCTGCAACTGCAGACCGCTCGCTGCGGCGTCCTGCCTGAAGCGTTCCTCTCGCACATGAATGCCTTGCACATGAGCAGCGGCCTCACCCGAGCAGCCGGCCACCAGGCAGAGGGCCAGCAGCCCCACGGCGAAGAGGTTGCGTGCCATCCCTGCGGCTGCAACCAACGACCTTTAAAAGGGTTGAAGGAGTGACGGCAGCAGGCCGCCAATCGCTCGCTTGGGCCGCTCACCTGCCTCCCAACTGCCAGCGAGCGCAGCGCACAGAGCGTGGTGGCGGCGCGGGGAAGGCAGGACCGTGCTTGTGACCCAGGAAAGTGCAGCTGGGGCTTACCATACAGCCTGCCTGCCAGCCTGTCTGCCTGGATCGGAACGAGCGGCGGCAGCCGACCGCCACACGCACCGCAGGCTGCGCCTCGCAACTCTCTTGCCAAACAGGGGGTTGCTGTTACAAGGATGAAAGGAGGGACACCTGAGAACAAAAACTGGGCGGTGTGGCTGGCAGGCGCGTCGGACGCCAGCGATGAATGGTATGTGGGTTCTCCATGCACATGTGCGTTTCTGAGGGCAAGCGGCAGCGCCAGCCAGCAACAGCTGGCGCCGCCAGGGCTGCCTGAATGAATGAATGTATGGCGCCAGGCGTTGCCACCTCACTCAAGGAGGGAAAGAATGAATCGTGCTGGAAACAAATCAAATCAACAATCAAGGGCAAAGGGCGGTGGGGGCCTCACCGGCGGTGAGCTACAAGACTCTTCTCCACGGCCAGGCGCGGGCGCTCAGCTGTTGCCCGCCGGCACGGTGGCGGGGCCCGCCGTCCCGCTCAGCATCGCCAGGCCCGGGCCCCACGGCTGCCGCAGCTCCTCCTCTGGGAGGATGGACAGCACCAGGTCCAGGGCATCCACCTGGCCGTCGGCGGGGGCCGCAGGCGCCGCAGCACCGCCGCCGTCGCGCGCCGCCGCCAGTGCCGCCTCCCGCTCCTTCATGGCCGCCGCCTCCAGGCCGTGCGCGCGCTCCAGCTCCCGCACGTTGCCCTCGATGGTGCGGCTGATAACCTCCAGGGGCAGCACGCTGAAGGGCTCCTCGATCATGACCCCAATCTCCTCGATGCCTGGCGCGGGAAGAAAGGAAGGCAGGGAGGAAAGCAAGGCGCACGAGGGGAGGTGCGTTGGTAGGGGAACACGGGGAAGGGCATGCGGCGTGGGGTGCAGTGCAAGGAGCCCAACGCGTGGGCAACGCAATTTGTCGCATGCTGTGCTGTCCCAGGCCCGCTGCTCGCAGCGCCACAAGTCCCCGCCCCGCCCCCCGCTCACCCAACAGCAGGAAGGCGACGGTCATGGCCAGCGGTACCATGGCCCACCCCGCCGCATCCCACAGCGTGAAGGGCATCACGGTCAGCCAGATCATCATGAAACGGGAGGTGTGGCTGCACATGGGACATGGGGCGGCAAGCAAGGGTGTAGGACGGGGCGCCGGAGGAGGCTGGCAGGTTGAATGGTGGGCAGGTAGGCAAGCAAGCGGGACCCCTCGGGCTCCTGCTTGCTGATGGCGGCTCCAGCTGGCTCCACCCCAGCACCCGCGCTCACCGGGTGTAGGAGAGGGGGATGGGGGTGCGCAGGATGCGCTCGCAGCCGCCCGTCACATCCTGCGGGGAGGCAGCGGCGGGCGGCAGGGGTGGGAGCGAGCCACCCACGGCGCTACCACGACTGCACCTGGCTCTGCCATGGTCACGTCTGCTGTGGCCTGCCCCATAATGTGCTGTGCTGCGCTGTGCTGTGCCACTCCATGCCTGGCCCTGTTCTGCCCTGACATGTCAGCCCCTGCTGTGCCGCTCACCGCAAACACCGTCAGCTGCTCGTCCATGCGCACAAAGGCGGAGGCCTTGACGTTGGCGAAGCTGTCGCCGTTGTCCACCGTCCAGCCGGGCAGCTTGGCCTCTCGCAGGATGGCGGCCAGCACCTGTGGAGGGGTGGGAGGGAAGGCGGGCAGGATAATCACAGTACACCCTCGCACACCGGCCCAGCTTCACTACCCAACCAGCACACACAGCTGCACACGCACGTGTACGCACACGCACACGCCACCCTCCTCCCTCGCACCTGCACGCAGTAGTTGGGGCGGTGGGCGGAGGCCTTGAGGGCGTCCAGCTCCCTGGGTGTCAGCACCCCCGCCAGCTCAGACTCTATGTCCTCGCCGCCGCGCAGGTGGCACATCAGGGAGCGGCTGCAGGTGCAGACAGTTATGAATATGTTCTCAGCTTTAAAAGAGCAGGGGGAGGGCAGGCAGGGCAGGAGGCGCAGGGCAGAGGGGAAGGAGGGGTGGGTGATGGGTGTGGCTCAAGTCACCTGGCCGCTGGCGGCGGCTGCCGCGCTCTGGATGCAGCGGCGGGGCCACAGGGCTGCCCATGCCCATCACATGCCCACCCGCATGCCCACCCTGCCTGCCTGCCTGCCTGCCTGCCTGCCTGCGGGCCCACCAGCCTCCTCACCTGTAGGCAATGATCCAGCGGCACAGCCCTGCCTGCAGCCCCGGCTGCGAGTCGGGGATGTTGCCCAGACCCTGCAAGCGGCACATGGAGCGACGCAGGCAAGGCAGGTGGGCAGGCAGGCAGGCGGCGGCGGCGGCGGCAGACCGGCGCAGCCCGCGGCACAGCAGCGGCAGCGGCAGCGTCTGCCAGCCCTCCGGCAGCCTGCGCCGCCCACTGGCGTGGCGTCCCAGCTATGGCTTGGCACATGCACACATTGCCCCGCCCCTGCCAGCCTGGCGCCCACCTGGCGGGTCATGTCCCGGCTGCGGTTCACCACCAGCCCCCACATCTTGCGGGCCTCGTCCCACCGCCCGTAGCCCGCGTTGGTGCTGCGGCACATGAGGGCAGCACATACAGTACAGCTCACTGGGTGTGCTCAGTGGTGAGAACAGGCAGGATGGGAGTGTAGTGCCGGCCACAAGCGCGCAAGACGGACTAGCTCAGGGCTGCATGCCAGTGCCGCGCCAGGCACGCGGCCTCACCGGTAGGCCAGCAGCAGGGAGAGGGCAAAGGAGGTGAGGCTGAAGGTGGTGTCGATCTTGAGCTCGGGGATGGGCGACAAGATGCCCATCTGCGGGGCAGCACGAGCGCAGCGAGGCGGCAGTCAGGCGGCATGATCGGAGTCAGGCAGCATGCAGGCAGCAGCAGGAAGAGCACGTGCAGCCGCGTGCAGGGCGGATAGAGGGCGGGCGACACAACAAAGCAGCGAGGGGGTGACCGCAGCGGCAGCCTCGCGAGGCGCGTAGGCGCTGTGGTGCACAGGGCCCGCCCACCGCACCTCGGCTGCGGTGTGCCAGGAGGCAACCGCGATGGACAGCCCCGTCACGTACAGCAGAGGCGCAGCCAGGCCTTGAGTCTGCGGTGGGGCAGGGCACCGGGGATCAGGGAGGGCAGCCGCAGCCGCTGACCACTTGAGGTCGAGGGCCGGGTGGCGCCTGCTGCATGCAGGGACCACAAACGGGCAGCTGCCATGCAGGTGCAGCGCTCACGATGCGCGAGGTGAAGGTGGCCCGCGCATGGCGCATGTACCGGCTGCCGCTGCGGTGCTTCTTCCACCGATCGAAGTCAAATACCTGCGGCCGGTTGGCAAATGGGTCGCTCCGAGGTGGACGGTCAGCACAATAAGAGCGGCACCCAGCAGCGCCGGCCATGCGGGCGGTCCGGCAGCAACCAGCATTGGGGGGTCGCAAGCACATGGTCGCATCCAAGCAGACTGCCGGGCAGGCGCAGCGCGGTAGGCCCGGCGGCGCACCGTGCGCAGGTTCTTGCGGTCGGCCTCCTTGAACTCGTCCCCCACCAGGTCGATCAAGGCCTGCAGCAGGCAGGTAGCAGGCGCAGCGGGCAGCAGGTAGATGGGACGAGAGAGTGGTCGCCGTCGCTGCTTGCCAGGAGACGGGCAAGGAGAGCAAAGGGGAAAGAAGGTGGCTGCCCTCACCGCGTCCTCCTCATCGAAGTCAGTAGCCACCAGGTTTTCGATGCGGTTCCGGATGGCGGCACGCTCGCGCTGGATCTGCTGCCGCCGCACCGCCGCCGCCGCTGCGGGGAACGCAGGCCGCTCCGGCGCCTCCTCCGGCTGCTGGCCGGGACCACCTGCCACGGCCACCCGCAGCTGCCGTCTCCGTTGGTGGTGTGTTAAGGGGCCACGAGATGCTGGCCAAGGATGGCGTGGCGACGCAAGGCCCAACCCGCAGGGAAGACGGGAGGCAGGGCCGGCGACCGGCGCCGCCGACACTTGCCGACCGGCACCAAGCTGCATTGCCACTGAGCTGTGAAGTTCTAGTGTCAACCGAGCGTGGGCACGTTAGTTGTCGCGCCAATTGGAGCAGGGCGATTGCTCTGGCACCCGCTACTACTACGAGTGCGGTGCCCGAAAGCGGCTGCCGCGCTGCCAGTTGATGCACAGATGGACGGCAAGTAGGATAGCGACAATGCGCGCCCAGCAGGGTGCATGGCTTTAATCGTCCACACTGGCGCGCTGCCAGCGAGGCGGGGGCGTTCAGAGAACTCGGCAGCTCAAACCCGTTGCACAGTCGTTGCACGTCCCGTACAGAGATCGCATCCAGTCCCCCCGCCCTTGGACACTCGTGCAGGCAAGTTCGAAGTCGGCTCTCTTGAGAGTGTCGGTGAGGAACGCTCCACAAGCTGCCAGCGGGCTGCATACGTGTGTCAGCACACCCGTCTGCCTAGGACCCGCCTGCCCGCCCCGACACCGTCGCCGCCGCAAGGCCGCTCATCTCCTGGCCTCCCAACGCGCGACTGTGGTGCAGGCCGGGAGAAGCGGCCCAGGTAGTGCTGCACATCGCAGCAATCAGGCACTGCAGGTCCCCCATAGCTCTCTGGCCAGCTGCTCCATAATCTGCTCCAAGCAGCAGCAGAAGCAGCGCAGGCAGTAGCGGCAGCCGGCAACAGGCCAGTGATCTGCCCTCCTGCCGGCCTGCGGCATGCTGGCTCGCACATCCGATGCGCTGCTCAGCAGCAGCAGCACGCTGCTGCGGTCGGCGGTCAGTAGAGCGCTGCTGCTCCTCAACGAGCTGGCGCGCTGGCGCAGCTGCACCGCAGGGCGCCTATTCGATCGGCAACGTCGCAGACTGGAGCCGCTCTGGCAGTGGCAGCAAACCAAGCAGAAGTTTTTGCAAGCAACTGTGATAGCAGCAGCAGTGTGGCAGCCGTCCGCACGCCTGGGCTCATGTCCACGGTGGTGCAGCTGCCAGCAGCAGCGGCGAAGGTCCAGGCTGCAGGCTGTGCCAGCGTAACCTCCGCAGCTGGCGATGCAGCGATGCTGGATGAGCTGCCGCTGTGGCGCCACCTTCGGGAGCAGCAGGGCTTCAGCCAAGCCACCATTTGCCCCTTGCAGAAGAGCAAGGTCAGCAGCGAACGGTATCCGCCAGACAAGGTGCAGCGTGACCTGGCACCCAACATGGCAGCGCTGCGGAAGGAGGGCCTGGCAACGCGCAACCTCAAGCGCCTGTGTGAGGCACAGCCAGCTTTTTGTACCACCACACACCACACCTTCATAAGCAGCCTGGCAGTTTCGAGGGACCTGGCTGAGGACCTGGACAGCAGCAGCCTGCCGCCGCTGGATCCGCCTCTCACACGGCTGGGGGCCGCGCTCATCGCCTACCCTGGCAGTGGTGCATACCAGCTGACGCGGAACAGCAGCTGCATCACCACGGCTCAGCGGCTCCTTCACGAGGAGCTGGGCGTTAGCAGCGCTGAGTTTGCGGCAGCGGTGTTTAAGCACTGCGCCATTTTGTTCGGGGACCCAGCCCGCGCCAAGCAGATGGCCAAGCATCTGCAGCACGTGTATGGCAGGGTGGCAACAGGTGAGGCTATTTTGGTGATGCGAGGTTCATTGTTGTCGGATGGGCGTCCTTTTTTGTCTATGTACCACCCTGCCTGCAGCTAAACACATCGCCCTGCGCTCCACGGCACTGCGCCTGGAGCCAGCAGAGTTTGACCGGCGGGTGGCAGCCAGGGCGGCTGTCCTGGGCGTCACTGTCGAAGAGATGCTGCAGCAGATTGCCCAACAGCCTGGCCTGGCGAGCATAAATGCTGGCACTACAATGCCGTCCTTGGATGCACTTGTGGAAGTGATCGGCAGGCTGATGCAGGCGGCTGAGGGCATGCAGGCAGATGCGCCGCTGCAGCTGCAGCACCGCGAGGCAGTGACGGCCTTGCTGAACAAGGTCCCAACGCTGCAGGGTGCGCCAGCCAGCACTGTGCAGTCCAACTGGGACTACCTGCGCAGCGAGGGGCTGACTGACAGCCAGATCTGGGCCACGTTTCAGAAGAGGCCCACGCTGATGGCCCATGACCTTTGCGGCGCCACCATGCAGCTGAAGGCCGCCTGGGTGGCAGAAGTGCTTGGTTTGGCCTTTCATGAGTTCTTCGTCTCCCATCCTAGCTACATGAATTCTGGTTTGCCTGGGATGGCGATGCGTGCAGATCACCTAAAAGTGCAGGGGCAATGGGAGGGCCTGTTGGCTCGGGGGCGTGGCCCGCTTCTTTCGGCGCTGACCCAGCCCGTGCTCCATTTCTGCAAGCGCCCCGAAGTGGACTGCAGCGAGGCGCAGCTGGCTGCCTTTGAGCGCCAGTGGCGGCAAAGCCCCGAGGGGCTGCACTGGGGCGTCAAGACTGACCGGCGGCGCCGAAAGCCCGCTGCCAGTTAGGTTGGTGCCGCTGTTGTTTTTTTGAACATTTTCAATGTATTATGGTGCTTCTTTTGATCTATGTGAGATGCAAATGCATTCATTTTCATGAACAAACTGCGGGACACGCAGCACAAAGAAAGGCCGCCTGGGAGGCGACCGGCTGCCAGCCCAGTGGGGGGCGGCGGTGGTGGTGCCGCCGGTAAACATGCGCAGCCCCACAGACGATGCTGCTATAGAGAGGAAAGTGGGTGAACCACACAGGGGGAGTGGGGAGTGGTTTCTCCCTGCAGCTTCAGTGCAAGCTACCCATCTCGGCGTCGGGTAGCCGCTAGGAAGGTGAGGCACATGGCCTCTGGAAAGTACAACTCTCAGGCGCAAAACAAGCCGTTATCCCCGCCGCCCCTTACCGCAATCCCCTCACGTCGTCGTTGCAGACCTCTCACAGCAAGCAACAACCAGCCAAGCCCAGCAACACAATGAAGCGCTTGCTGAACGCCATGCGCCAGGTCTCCGACCCGGCAGAGCCGCAGGCAGACGTGATGGAGGAGGAGAGGGACCCGCAAGGCAAGGAGGAGCCCAAGGTGGGGAGTGTCGGCGCCCTCGGACTTGGCGCCGCGTTGCCTCCTCCAGCACCCTGGGCGCCCCTCAGAGCTCCGGTCTGGGTGTGATCGCCGTCATGCCGCGCCTGGCCAGCGACCCCATGGGGTCGCCCGCAAGCAGGCGCCACGGATTGCAACGCAGGCGGCGGCGGCGCCCGGCAGGGCCGCCAGTCTGGCGCTGCTTCCTCCCCGCTGCCCACCATGAGCTGCCCTTCCTTCTGCAGGAGGTCGATGGCAACACGTGGCGCGTCGAGGCGCTGCAGGAAGTGGATCCCTACCAGCACGGTGAGACCTGCCTTCCTGCTGCTGCCGCTGTCCCGAACTGCCAGGCCACACCGTGCCCACATCGCCTGCCTGCCTGCCTCCTCTGCAACTGCAGGCGCGTACGCGTGCGCCGCCACCACCGCCTGCCAGCCCGCCGGCGCCGCCCGCCGCCTCCTGGGCAGCCTGGTGGGTGCGCGCGGCGGCGGCGGCGCCCCGCAGGCGGCGGCCAAGTGCGGCGCCATGCCGCCGGCGCCGCCCAGGATGATGCCGGCACCCTGCGCGGCGCCCTGCGCCGCCATGGCCCCTGGCGGCGCGGCCTTTGCCGCAGAGGGCTGCGCCATCGGATTCAAGACCGGTGAGGCCGCGCAGCAAGCCCTGTACTCGCCAGGTGCAGCACAGCGGAGAGACCGCCCATCCAGCGCCCGCGCCTGCACACATCACTCAGCCGCCGCCGCCCGTGCGCGCCGGCGCCTCCCTCGCCGCCAAGCGCCGCCGCAGCGCCTGCCCACCTGCACGCACGCACGCCTGCCTGCCTCCCTCCTCCACCCCTGCGCAGGCGGCGCCCAGGATGCCGCCAACTTTCGGGAGAACATTGCCGCGGGGCACCTCCCTCTCCCCAGCGACGTCACTTACGAGGGCCTGATCAAAGACTATTATTTCGACACCTCCCCCACGCCCCCAGACGGCTGGGTGGATGCCGGGTGCGCGGGCGGGCGGGCCGGCTGGTCGGGCGGGCAGGCAGCTGCGGACGGGCGGGCATGCCGGCAGAAGGGCAGGCAGGCAGGCCCGGCGCTGCCGGCTCGTGTTTGAGCCCAGCGCGCCCCTGCCCCTGCCACTGCCAGCTGACCGGCCCGCCGCCCCGCTGCTCCCGCCTTCGCCTCCAGCGGCGAGGCGCCGCCGCCACCTCGCCCCACCGAGCTCTTCGCCCCCACCTACTCCCTGGCCCTCGCACCAGACCCGCTACTGGTGGCCGCCGCCGCGGCCGACGACGACCGCCTGACCGCGGCCGGCGCCGACTCCCCGCTCCCCTCGCCCTCCCCTCGCCTCGCCGACCCTGCACCCCGGCAGGGCGCCGGGGACGGGCCGGCGGGCGAGCATGCTCAGCAGTCCCAGCAGCAGGCGCAGCAGCAGGACCAGCAGCAGGACCAGCAGCAGGCCCAGCAGGCCCAGCAGGCACAGCAGGACGTCTTCCTGGCTGTGGGCCTCGACTCCGGCCTCACCGACTTCCGCCGCCCCCGCCTCAACCTCTGCCTGCTGCTGGATGTGTCGGGATCTATGGACTGCGCCTTTGACAGGCACTACTACGATGCCGCCACGGGGCGCCAGGCCACGCTGCAGGGAGAGGGTGCGCGGGCTGGGGCTGGGGCTGGGGTCGGGCTGGGGCTGTGAGTCTGGCTGGCTGCCGGCTCTGCTGCCGATGGGGTGTGAATGAGGCAACCCGGCTGCCGCAGAGGGGCCAGGGGGCACTTTTTCCCCAGACAGACCCCGCCGTCTGCCCGCGCCTTGGCACCGCCGCTGCGGCCTGCCACCCTGGCATGCCACCCCCGCCTGACGGGCACCACCTGCCCATCGCGCCCCAACCGACTCATACAGTTGTCTTGTAATTGCAAATCCCGCCCTCCCTCCCACCCTCTTGCAGAGGCGCGGCGCACCAAGCTGGACGTCGCTAAGGAGGTGATCAAGGGCGTGCTGGAGCGCCTGTCGCCCGACGACTGCGGTGAGCGGCGGCCCCCCCGCCGGCGCGGCGCCTCCCCGCTGCCCTGTGGTTGCCGTGTGCGGGCGGCGGGTGGGGCGGGGTGGGAGGCGGCAGCCGGCTTTAGGGTGGGGGCCAGGGGTGGGCCCGGCCCGGGCCTTCCCCTGCTTGCCTCGCAGCACGGCTCTGCCTGCCCGCTCTTATGTTTTCTCTCCTCGGTCTGCCCTATACTCGGCACACCCACCCCACCCGACCTCCCCCTTCCCTCGCCCCCCGCAGTCGCCATCTCGCTCTTCTCCGACGCCGCCGCCACCCCCAAGCGCATGGGGCGCTGGGGCGACGCCGACGCGGCAGGGATCCAGGCGGGCATCGACAGCCTGCGCACCGTGGGGGGCACCAACTTCCAGGCACGCCCCGCGCTTTCTGACTTCTCTTCCTTTCTATTTTGTTCTGTGTTGGAAAGCTGGAAAGGGACCAGCCGCGCATGTGCGTGGCGGGCAGCCTGCTCGGCGCGCCGCAGCTTGCCGGCAGGCTGCGATGCAGCCCTGACGGCAGGCGCGCGCCGGCGGCTGGCATGCAGCCCTGGCCCCGTCCACCTCACCCGCCTTGCCGCCGCCTCCCCCTCGAGACCTGCAGGCGGGGCTGGATGAGGGCATGGCGCAGCTGCGACGCTGGGGTGGCTTCGTGGATGGCGACCCGCTTGCCACAGAGAACCGGCTCATCGTGCTGACAGGTGTGGGGGGGGGTTGCATGCGCATGTGCGCATGTGCAAGCGCGGGAGGCTGCTCAGGGCTGGGAAGTGGCGTCACGGCCCCTGCGGCAGCCATCTGGTCTCCCTGCCTGCACCCCGTCGGCCGCCCCGCCTGCCTGCCCGCCTGCGTGCCTGCCCATCCGCCTGCCTCCACCCCTCCTCTTCCCACCGGCGCCACCTCTCCCCACCTCAACCCTAACCTGCCCGGCCCTCGCCGCCCCCCGTGCCGCAGACGCTGAGGCCAACTGTGGCGACGTGTCCGAGACGGGGCTGCTGGCGCGTCTCAAGGCCGCCGCCGCAGACCGGCTGTACGCCACCATCGTGGGTGAGAGGCCCCAGGGGGCGCAGCAGGGCGCAGCAGGGCGCAGCAGGGGGCGCAGCAGGGCGCAGCAGGGAGCCGCAGGGCGCAGGCGGGCGCAGGGGCCAGGGGCGGGGCCCGCAGGGGGATGCCACGCTGCCTGCCGCGTGGGTCCCTGCCTGAGTCCACCCCACCCCACACATCACACATCCCTGCGCCAACCACCCCTGCATATGACACAGTCTGTCCCCCACCCCACCCCCAGCCCAACCCACACCACCCAACCCAACCCAACACACACGTGCCGCCGCTCCCCGCAGGCGTGGGCCTGGACTTCCAGACGCAGCTGGTGGAGGGCATCATGCGGGTGCGAGGCGCCTCCTACTTCTCAGTCCACTCCCCGGGTGAGCGGCACCAGCCTGCCGGGCCTGGCGGCGGAGCCTGACCAGCGAGCTTTTGTGTGTGCTGTGCGGCAGTGCACGGCCTGCATGCACGCCGCACAGGAGCCTGCTGAGCGGCAGGGAGGCTCCCGCGGCCTTTGGCTGCTCCTTGCTTGGCACCGCCGTGCGCGCGGTGCGCTCCCAGGCTGGCCCCATGTGTGGGTCAAGCCCGCACGCCTCGAGAGAGCAGCCCGGGCCGGGCGGCTGCCGCTCCTGCTGCTCCTGCTGACCCTGCCCGCTCCCCTCCCTCCCGTGCGTGTGTGCCTCTCGTTTGCTGCTCCCCAGGCGAGTTCAAGCGGCGGCTGGGCGAGGAGTTCGATTTCATGGTGGCGCCGCTGGTGTTCGACCTGGAGCTCAGGGTGGACCCCGCCAGCCTGGCACCAGCTCATCAGGGCGCAGGCGGCGGCGGCGGCGTCACCGGCGCGGCTGCGGCCGGCGAGCCGGCGCCTGGCGCAGGGCCGGGGTCCCCCGGAGCCGGCTCAGGCGGGTGGAAGGTAGTGCACGTGTACGGCAGCCCGGACTCGGAGGAGCGGCGGCTGTCGGGCGGCGGCAGCATCATGCGGGTGAGTCTGCAGTGAGAGCCTCCTGAGGGTGTGCCTTCCTGCGCTGCTGCCAGTTATTGGCAGCCCCAGGTTGTGCTCTGCCCCAGAGCGATGCTGGCTGTTGGTGCTTGAAAACAGCTGGCAACAAGGATTCCGCTGTCCCCTGGTGTCCCGTGCCTCCCATCCTCTCATCCGCCCACGTCCTGCCACCCGCACCGCCCCCGCAGGTCAGCACGCTCTTCCCGTCCGCCAAGAGCGAGGAGGGCATCAAGGGCGGTGTGGTGCTGCTGCGCATGCGGCCGCCGCCGGGCACCGACGCGCGCACCGCGCCGCCGCTGCGCCTCAGCGCGCGCTACGCAGACAGGTGGGCTGCAGCCGGGCTTCAGTCGGGATTCAGCCGGCCCCAAATCCAACAGATCCCTGCAAGCCCCCACGCCTGAACCGCGCCTCGCCTGCCCAGCGCTTCCAGCCGCCACTGGCCATCGCCTCAGCCCCTCCACCCACCCATCCACACCACACGCAGGTCTGGCCGGCAGTACGACACCCTGAGGATGGTGGAGGTGCCTGCCGAGGCGGCTGCTGGCGGCGGCGGCCGCCGCCGAGCGCGGCCCCGGCGGCGGCGCCGCCGCCGCCTCTTACTTCCATTCAAGCGGCGTGCGCAAGGCGGTGGCGCTGGCGCGGCTGGTGGATGCCCTGCAGTGCTGGTGAGCTGGCAGTCCCATGCCGTGCCGTGCCGTGCCGTGATGCGCTGGGCTGTGCTGTGCCGTGCCGTGCCGTGCCGTGCTGGCGCTTGCAGGCGGCATTCGCCGCGCCTGAGCCGCGTGCGTATGCCGGGCGGCATCCCGCTCCCTGCTCCGTCGCCCACCAACCAAAACTGATGCCCTCTCTTCGCTCTGTCCTGCCTCCCGCAGGCTGGTGGATGAGTGGGCGGCTGTCAAGTCCCCCCGGCCGCCCGGCAACGACGGCTGGAATGCGGGGGTGGCTGCCGGGCTGGGCGCCGNCGCCGCCCCGGGCCCTCCGGTGGCTGCGCAGCGCCCTGCGGCGCAGGCCGGCCCGCGGCGCCTGCGCCCGGGCTGCCCGCTGCTGCCTCCCGATGGGCTGGCGCGCAAGGAGGCTGCGGGCGAGCCGGAGCGCCCCACCATGCCGGCGTGGATGCAGCTGGGCCAGTGGGAGCGCCAGTCGCAGGCGCTGCGGGTGGGCCCCGAGGCCCGCGCCGCGCTGTGCCAGCTGCTGTCTTTCTTCCGGGCCGAGGTGGCGGCGCTGGGAGATAGCGACATGCAGCAGGAGGTGGAGCTGCTGCAGAAGCTGGTGGCCGCCTGAGGGGCAGCCTGCAGGCTGAGGGGCGAGCTGTGCTGCGCAGCAGGACGAAGAGCTGCGAGAGCATTGATTGCCGCCTGCTCCGGCTGAAATTTGGCTCTACTCATTCTATTCACTCCTCATCCCACGTCATGTATGTTTACCTGTAGATACTCCTGCACTTGCACTTGTTGTGTTATTGCTTGAACACCCGGACCGTCACTTGTAAGCGGACGGACACCACTCTCAACACACGCGCGGTCTTGTCTGCCGGCCTGCTGCCGCCCCTCCCACCCAGCGCCTTTGCACCTCAGGCTGAGCCTGGGTGCCGCCTGGCTGCCGCCCGCACCAGGCCTCACACAGCTGCCTCCCAAGCACACCTCTGCGCGGCCTGCAGGTTGGAAAAGGTTTACAACACTGGAGCCACAGCGCTGTCTGTCTGCGGTCACAAGCAAAAAGGTGGCGGCGCGGTACAGGGGAGGCGCGCGCGCCGCATCGGCCGGCAGAGGAGATGAATGGGTCAAGCCTGGGCAGCCGGATACACATGCGCTCGTCTCACGGGCCACACATGGCGCCGGCAGGCAGGCGGAAAACCAGAGGGGACACGAAATGGGGTGAGGGGGGAGATGCCGGGAGTGCTTCACCTCGGGCAGGCGGACAGCACTACAGGCGGGGCAGCGCTAGCAGTACGGGGCGAGGCGCGCACGGGCAAGCAAGTGGTGCAAGGCAGCAGCGGGCGGCGGGGAGGGTGCAAACAGGCGAGAGAGGGCTTCGGCGCTATGCTTGGAAGGCGGTCGAACAAACAGGAGCGAGGAGGGGGTGCAGGGTGGGTGTGCAGTAGCGGCGCCAGGTGCCGCTGCCCGGCCAAGAATGGCAGGCGTGAGTCAAACAGGGAGGAGTAGGAAAAGCGGTGGCTCATTCACAGCTTGGAGCCTCGCCTGTCTGTGAAAACCAGAATTCAAGGTTGGGCTGGGCTGAGACAGCAGGAAAGCCCTCCCCGCTGCCAGCCCGCAGCAGCCAGCAAACAAACACCTCCGCGAATCGTGACGAATGCCGGGCCGCCCGCCGCGCCGCGCCTGGCCAGCCTGCGGCCAGCAGGCAGCCACGCCTCTGCGCCAGGGGGGCGTGCCGGGGCCGCCGCCCAGCCCCTGCCGGCTGCTCGGCCTCAGCTTCAGTCGGACAGCCGGATCTCGGCGCCCAGAATCTCCTTGACCTGTGGCAAGGGCAGGTTCATTGGGCCATTGGGGAGGGTGGGAGAAGAGGTTCAGGAGCGGCAAGCAGTGGTCGTCAAGGGCACGGCGGCAGTTTGATAAGCCACACAAGGCCACCAGAGCCGGCAGGCACCCAGCCGACAGGTACCAAAAACAGCCGGGCGGGCCAACGCCAGCAGAAAAACAAACCATGACAGAGCAGAGGCGAACCAACGAGGCAGCACCATACCGCATGCACAGCCACACACACCACACACAGACACACACACCACACGCGCACACATACCCCACCCCACCCCACACACCTGCTCGTAGGTGACAAAGGCGATGGCGATGGAGGGGACCACCTTGACGTAGTTGGGGGCCAGGCCCTTGAACAGCGCCTGCGGTGGGGAGGGAGGCGGCAGGGGGCAGGGAGGGCAAGGGAGGCGCAGAAGATGCGTGAGGCGGGTGACGGAGGCGGGAGGGCATGTGAGGTGGTGGTGGCGGCGGTTGCGGTGGTGGTGGCGTGTGTGTGTGTTTGCGCTGGGGCCATGGCAAGCGGCAGGCTGCGCATGGGACGCAGCCGTTGCCTGGGGCAGCGGGCGGGCGCGGCGGCCTCTCCTGTGCCGACCACTCCTGTACTGCCCACTCCTGCACCACGCACCTGGATGCCCTCCTCCCGCACCGTCCTCACAAAGCAGTCCATCATGCCTCGGTACGCCACCGCCTGCCCGTGGTCTGCAGGTGGGGTGGGGTGGAGTAGGGTGAACGGGCAGCGACAGCGTGGGAGCGAGCAGCGCAACAGCTGGGGCAGGTGGCGGCAGCTGCGTGCGTGTGCGCCCGATGCAGGTGCCCCGCAGGCGCCTCACGAAAAGAAAGGCCGCGGCGTCGCACCTGCGTGCAGGTTCTTGGCTCCTGACCATCCCGACACTTGCAGCCGCCGCCGCACGACGTCAAAGGGGTATGCCAGGGTCTGCAGGCGGCGGGGGTGGTGGGTGGGTGGTGGTGAGGTGTGGGGGCAGGGAGGGTGGGGCGTGTGAGGTGGAGGGCCGCCGAGGCGGCAGCGCACGCAGGTGTGCCTGCCGGCGCCAGCAGCGCTGCTGCAGCCCCGCCGCGGGAGCTCACCTGGCCCATGGTGCCCGCTAGCGCGCCGCACCCCAGCCGCACTGCGATGCTCAGGTCGCGCTCGTCGCGCAGGCCTGCGCGGAGCAGGCGGCAGGGTCAGCGGCGAGGCGGGGATGGAGGCAGGCGGCGCGGCACACAGCCACCGCATATGGCGGCTGCGCCGGATGTGGCGCGTGCCGAGGGCGGTGGCTCAGCCCGCCGCCTCTGTCCACACACCCAGCACACACCGACTGCGCAGGAAGCACCGCGAGCCGAGAGAAAACCTGCACCCCGCCAGCTCAGCGCGCCGCCAGCTCAGCGTGCCAGCTCACCCCACGTCTTGATGATCACATCCTTGAGCGTCTCGTACACACCAAAGTTCAGACCTACATACGGAACCACGCCTATCACGCTGGGCAGCCAGCCGCGCCACAGCGCCAGCAGGCCCTCCTCCCTGCACGGCACGGGCGCAGGGCGCCAGTCGGTAGGCGGCGCCGCGCCCAGTTTCCAGGTCGGCACAGGTGCGGGCGGGTTCCCGAGGGCAGGCAGCTGGGCCAGCGCGGCAGCCACTCCGTGGCTGGCGTGCAGGGCAGCGCGCCGAGCAGCGGGTTCCCCAGCACCCCGCCTCTCCTCCCCGCTCCGAAACGCCAGAGCCACCAACGCCACCACCACCACGGCGCCATCAGGTGCGCTATAAGCTAGGAGCCGCACCTGATGATGCAGCCGGTGGCGTGCCAGAGGCCGCGGTACTGCGGGTTGCCCGCCTCCTGTACTGTGATACGGCCCCGTACCATGTCCAGAGGGTATGTAGCAGACATGCCCACCACGCCCGCAGCTGCACGGCAGCCGCCGAGGCAGGGGAGGGGAGCGAGGCCTGAGATCGGTGAAGGCTGGGGCGACAAGCTGGGAGCGGAGCGGGCACAGCCGGCAGCCATGCAGCGACACGGCCGGACTGTGCCTGCCCAGGCAGGGCCAGGCCAGCAGGAGGAGCAGGCCGGCGTGGCCGAGGAGGGGAGCAGTGCCGCGCAGGCGAAGCGACGGGAAGAGGTGTGCGGAACGTGCCACGCACCTGCGCCCGCCGACAGCCGCAGCAGCGGCGTCAGCTGCCCATCGCCGCCGTTGTCTATCAAGTGGTGGCTGATCTTGCGGCTGAGCTGCTCGTAGGTCAGGAACTTGATGGCTGCATGCCAGAAGCGACACCACGGAAGGAAGAAGGCGGGGAGGATGCGGCGTCTGAGATGCATGATGCTCTGCCGCTCCGGCAACACGCAAACCCCCCCTCCCTGCCCTGGCTGCACCAGCCACACTTCCGCGCGCGGCGCCGCACCCTGGTTTGGCACGATGCGGATGCAGTTGAGGCCGTTCCCCTTGAACATCCCCCTGATGCCGTCATTGCGGAACATGTGCGATGTACCCTGCACGCGCGCACACACATGCGGTGGCCCCGCAGCCACACCGATCAGCCCAGCCGCAGGCAGCACGCCGCAGGCAGCAAGCAGCCGGCTGCCCGCGGCGTCCCAGTGCCCTGCCGCGCGCTGCCGGCTGCCCGCCATCCGCCCCGTCCCCGGCAAAAGCATCCTGCAGGCCCCAGGCGCGGCGCCCGCCACCACCAGCGCCTCCGCTGCCCTGTTGAGCGCGCTCCGCAAGCACCCACCTGCCACACGCCCGTGTACATCTTCTCGTTGCCCTGCACCTGCATCAGAATCTTCAACCTCTCTAGCGGAGCTACGGCCGTGCGGCTCCTGCACACAAGAGGGAGGTGCAGCACCGGGCCGCGCTTCGGTGCCGCTGCCGCCTGGCAAGCCAATCGGCCTGCTGCTGCGTCCTGGGCAGGGCTGGGCGTTCGCTGATGGATGCACGGCTGCGCCCAGCGCCTGCCCCGTCCCCTGGTGGCAGCCGCGGCGGCAGCACTCACACGGCCCCCGCGACGCCCCCCGCGCATAGCGACTTGGTGATCTGGGCCCAAGTCAAGCTGCGCTTCTCTTTGTCGGTGGCCATGCCAGGCGCCGCCTGCTGCTGCAGCAGGCGGGTGGGACAGGCGCGTCTGGTGTGAGACGGGCTGCGCGGGTGGCCATTGGCAAGCAAGGGAGAGGGCGGCAGGCGGCAATGGACGGCGGCGGCAGCGAGGGCTGCTGGGCCCCAGTCGGTCGGCGGGCGGGCGGCGCTTCCGGGACGCCCCACCTTGGTGATTACTTGCTGCTGCTCAAGCTGCACGCCTCGCTCTCCGCTCTGCAGCTGCTGCATACGGCGCCTGGGGGGCTACAGGACGGACCCTAAACACTGGGACAGTCAGGGGTCGGTGCCTTTTGCGTCAATCCAGCAGGAAGGGGCTAGTGTGCCGAGATGGGGAGCACCGAGACCAGGAGGGCTGGCAGGGGCAGGGAGGCGGGGCCCTTCGCCAGCAGCTCGGGGTCTCGGCGATCGCCTTGCCGCACTGCAGGGAGGCCGCAGTCGGCCTGCCCCTTCAGCAGAGCCCTCCTCACCCGCAGCATCCACAGCAGGCCCGGAAATTTCGGCCGCCTGGGAGGCGCTGGCTTGTTCTGCGCTGCAGCAGGGACCGCCTCGATCACCCTGGGCCGTGCACAGCACCTGCCTGTGCTTCTCCCAACAACTGTTGCACGGCCAGCCGCCTGCGGGCCCTCGGACGCCCTGCAAGTGGGCCATACCGCCTGAGCCGCATCCCAAGCCCCGCCTGAGGCCAACGCGGCGCCCTGCCTGCTTGGGCGGCAAGGCCGCCAGTCTCCCGCTCGGCCTCCCGGCCGCCCGACGGCCCCACCGCCCCGGCGGCGCGCCCGCCAGGAGCCGCTAGCGCCTCGCCCGCGCCTCCATGGGGGTCACCGCGCTCTGGCAGCTGCTGGGCGCGGAGCAGGTGGTGGAGCACTACCGCGGCGCCTCCGCCGATGAGCTGGCGCACATCGTGCAAGCGGTGGACGGCGCCGCCGTGGCCGTGGACCTCTCGCCCTGGCTCATGCAGGTAGGGGGAAGCTGGGCAGGCTGGGCTGTAGCCCTCCATCAAGACTGAAAAGATAGCCTGGTTAATGACACGCACAATGGGCAGGGTTTGGGGGCCTGTTCCTGAAGTGGATGCTTTCTTCGCCCCTGTCCTTGCACCGACCGCTACCACGGCGCTGCTGCGCGTGCCTGCCCCGCCCCACAGGCCGACCAGCAGCAGGCGCTCCTGCCGCACTTCAGCAAGGAGGAGCGCTGCATGAAGGTGGCCTTTGAGCGGGTGAGCGGCGGCGGGCGTGCTTGTAAGGCAACAGCCCCAAGGGCCTTGCTGGGCAGGCGGGCAGCGGCTGCCTGCCGGGGGCTCTTGTCCAGCCTGGGAGCTGACTCTCCCAGCCCCCATACCTGCCTGCACCTGCACCCCTGCTCCCCAAACCCCGCAGGCCGTGCAGTGGCTGCGCCACGGCTGCCTGCCTGTGATCGTGGTGGAGGGGCGGCCGCCGCAGGAGAAGCGCGCGGCGCAGCAGGCGCGGTTTGCCTCGCGAAACGGCTACGCCGGCGGCGGCAGCCAGCAGGGCGCCAGCCAGTTCCAGCGCCTGGGCCAGACGCTGGGCATGATGCTGGAGGAGCTGGTGAGCGGGAGCGGGAGGGAGGAGGAGGGGTGGGGAGGGCTTGGGAGCTGCTCTGGCAGCGCAGGGGACTGCCCACGCGTGGAGAGCAGCCTGGAAAGGAGCGCGGCGGCGACGCGAGGCGGCTGCAGCTCGCCGGCTTGCCTGCGGTTCCCTTAGCGCTGCCCTTTGGTGGCCCACACCTGCTGTGACCCGCCCCTGCCATCCTCCACCCCCCCAATCATCCGAAGGGCCTTCCCGTCTTCTATGCTCCGGGCGAGGCGGAGGCCGTGTGCGCCGCGTTGAGCGCGGCCGGCTGCTGCGACGCTTGCGCAACCCCGGACGGCGACGCGCTGCTGTACGGTGCCGAGAGCCTGCTGCACACGGTCAAGCTGCAGGTGGGTGCAGCAGCGGCGGCGCATGTGTGTTGGGGTGGGGGTTGAGGTTCGGGGCGGGTCCGCGGGCCGGTCGCCTGGCTGGGGCTGGGTGTTGGTGCTGGGCGTCGGTGCTGCATGAACTGTGTGCATGTGGGTGGAATCTGGCAGCATGCCCCGCTGCCGATTACAGCAGCAGCGCTCCCACGCTGCCGGCCCGTCCCCCGCTCCCTCCCCACCCCGCCCTTGCAGACCGGCCAGCCTCGGGAGTGCGAGCTGCGGCGGGTGGGCATGGCTGCCGTGCGGCGGCGCCTGGGCCTGCGCAGGGGCGGCACCAAGGCGCTGGGCGTGCTGGCTATGCTGTCGGGCTCGGGTGGGTGGCTTGCCCGCAGGCCTGCACGCCTCTGCTGGCCGCCCGTGCCCCCTGTGCTGCACCTGCGAGCCCCACTCCCCTTTGTACCTCAAGCCAGTCCCCGGCCTTGCTGCTGGTACGTGTCCCATCCCATCCCTTGCCCATCTGCCCACCTGCCTGCATGCCTGCCTGCATGCCGTGCCCTCCCTCCACTCATCCCTCCAATCATCCCTCCACTGGCCAGCAGACTATGATCTGGAGGGCGCCCAGGGAGTGGGGTCCAAGGGAGGGCTGGCAGTGGCGCGCTACCTGCTGCGAGGCGGCGCGGCAGCGGGGCAGGGGGAGCCACAGGAGGACGACAGCGAAGTTCTGGAGCGGCTGGCGGAGCTGGTGCAGGTATGTGGGTGTGTGCGGGTGTGTGCAGGTGTGTGCCTAGTGGCAGGGTCGGGTGGTGGGAGGTGGGGAGCTGCTCGCCGGAGCCTGCACCCTTTGCCGACCCAACGACAGCGCAGCACAGCGCAGCGGGCCATGCATGCATGCATGCATGCGACCCGCGCCTGCATCCCATGCGTCGGGTGTTTGATTCCTGCCCTGCCCTGCTGCAGCGCCCGCCGCGGCACGACCTGCTGGCGCTGACCAAGTGCACCGGTTGCCAGTCATGCGGCCATGAGGCGAGTGCTAGCGGTCGCCGCCCTACCCTGGGCTGCTTCTCGCCTGGAGTTGGCCACCTGCCCTGAGTGCAAGCTAGGCTGGCTCTGTGCTCCCAGTCCCCTTGCATGCCCCTTGCCGGTGGCTGACGCCAGCCTCCTGCCCTTGCGCTGTTCCTCCACCTCCGCCTGCAGAGCGGGCGCGCGGGCAAGATCAAGCGGCACACAGGCAAGAACCCGTGCCGCTGCTGCACGCCCGCCGAGGACGGCGGCTGCCAGGACGCGCCCTGCGGGCCCTGTCGCTGCGCCTTCCACCGCCAGGAGACAGAGCGGCGGGTGGGTTGGGCCTTGCCGCTTCCTGTCAGTACCTTGCCAGCTCCCCCAGTGTTCTCTCGCACTTGGCAGAGCAGTGCCCGCTGCTGGCCTGCCCCGCTTCGGTCTGCTGCCTGTCAGGCCTCCCCGGTTGCCTGTCAGCCCACCCTGCTGCGTGTGTATGCCTTTCTATCTATTTACCTGCCTGCCAGCCTACCTGTCAGCTCTACTCGTGTGCCTGCCTATCCACCCACCTACCTGCCCTGCCCATCCTGCAGGTGGAGCGCATCCTGGAGCGGGTGCGGCGCAAGCCGTCGTTCCTGGCGGAGGCGCAGGCCGCCGTTGGCGTGTTTGAGCGGCAGGCCCGCGAGGCGGCCGCCTATGTGGAGCAGCGCCTGGGGGAGCTGGGCGGCGCGCCGGGCCGGAAGCTGCACTGGTGAGCACATGGCTGTGAGCACGTGAGTTTCCGGGTTTCAGGGCAGGCTAGTGGCAGCAGCAGGTGTATTGCCTCTTCTCCTCCCTCTACACTGTGGCACTCGTGGCAAGGCACACATCATCCCTGTCGAGCACACCGCACCAAGTGCTGAGGGTCGCCCCGCTGGTGCCCGCAGGCTGCACCGCCCCCGCGTGCGGGCGGTGTTTGATTACATCGACGCCCGGCGCCGCCAGATGGTGTGGGACCTACCGGGTGAGAGGCCTGCAGCAGCCTTGTACCCGAATTGCGGGCTGGAACGGACCGTGCCGAGCAGCTAGGTTGCGAATCAGGAAGCCACCCAGGCGCAGCTGCGGGCATCAAACCACCATGAAGAGTGGCCCTGTTATGGCCATGCATGCCCGCCCTTCTTCCTTTGTCCTTCCCTTCCGTTACGCCTGCAGCTGTGCGCAGCAAGCTGCTTCCGGTGCTGCTGGAGTGGGATCTGCAGCAGGAGGGCCGGGGCGAGGGGGAGCACGGCCCGGCGGAAGGCGTGGAGTTTCGGGCGGTGGAGGTGCAGAAGGTGCACGGCCTCAAGAGCAAGATAGATGAGCTCACTGGTGAGACGCTGCTGTACATGTGTCTCACCGGTGCTCCCGTTGTCCCCTTGTTGTGTGTGAGGCAGCGCCTTGGTTTGCTGCTGCTGGCTGCCCGACCGCCTGCCTGCCCCTCGATTGCGCTGCTGGCTGCGCAGGCGCGCACTGGCGCTACGTGCTGCGCTGGGAGCGGGTGGACTCTGATGTGGAGGGGCTGGGGGAGCTGCAGGTACGGTGCAGTACGCTGCAGCTCATCGGCGGCAGATGGAAGAGTGCAAACAGCTGCTTCAATTTCGAGCCTGGCATTGCTGTGGAGCTGTGGAGCTGCACCTCACGCCGCTGTCTGCCCGCTTGCTGCAGGTGCAAGCCAAGAAGCCGCGGGCCAAGCCCGGCGCCGCTGGGTGGGGGGCAGGCGAGTACGAGGGAGACGAGGAGGCGGTGCTCAGCCAGGCTGCCAGCCAGTCCGCCAGCCAGCCGGCCGGCGCCAGCCCAGGGTGGATGAGCCAGCCTGAGACGATGTCGGTGAGTGGGCCTGGCAGGCTGGCCCTGCCTGCTGGCCCTCCTCCTGCTTGCTGCGCACTGCTGCGGCAGCCTTGCGAGGCACTCGGCCTGCTTTCGGGCCTGGGAACGGGAGTCAAGCAGGCAGCTGGGCGGCACGGAGGGAGCAGGGAGCACGTGTGGCAGCCGGCCCGCCGGCCCCAGCCTGGGCCTCTCTTGCCCTCCTCAAGCACCTTGCTACCACTCTGCTGCTCACCGTTAGTGCATGCACCACCTCCCTCTGGTGCTCACCGCTGGTGCCTGTCTTTGAGGCTCCTCCTGCCGTGCCTGCCTGCTTTCGCACTCTGCAGGTGCGAGAGTTTGACCTGCGCTGGCTCAAGGAGCAGCCTGCGGAGCACCGGGCGGTACGCATCACTGCGGTGCAGCGGTACCTGCCCCGCCTGGAGTGGCTGTTCCAGCAGCGCCTGGCCGGAGGCGGGGCCAGCGGCAGCGGCAGCGGCAGCGGCGGCAAGAAGAAGCAGGCTGCAGCGGCGCCAGCAGGGGCGCCCCGCGGCAACGGCAGCGGCGGCAAGAAGGCCGCTGCCGGCGGCGGCGGCGGCGGGGTGCGCAAGCCGCGGGCCGACAGCAAGGCAGCTGCCGCTCGCCAGCTGCTCATAGATTACGATTCAGGAGGGGAGGAGCAGGGGCAGCGGTACGGCCCGCAGTACCGCCCTAAGCCCCAGCTCGATGGAGACCTGACTCGGTACCTTGTGCAGCGCCGCCCGGGCCAGCAGCCAGCTGCAGCACCAGGCGCACCAGCAGCAGCGGGCTCAAGAGCCGCCAGCAAGGCTTCCAAGCCCGGGGCAGGCGCCGCGGTGGCAGCAGCAGCGGGTGGCGGGCGGGACGGGTATGGCCTGGCAGGCATCTCCGCCTCCGAGCAGCAGCAGCAGCAGCGGTATGCACAACACCTCCCCGCCACGGCAGACGGCGTGCGGGCGCTGCTGAGCAAAGTGATGGACGGCGGCAGCCAGCCGGCAGGGAAAACGCAGCAGCAGCGCCGCGAGCGGCACCCGCCGCCGGTGCAGCGGGGTTCTCCCGAGAAGAAGCAGCGCAGCCCGCGGGGCGCGGTGGCAGCGGGAGCAAGCGCTGACCCTCATCCCGCATCCACCACAGCAGCAGCAGCAGCAGCAGCAGCAGCAGAGGGAGTGGGAGCGTCTCCGGGCGCCGCCGCCTCCCCAGGCGGGAGCGATTTCGAGGTGCTGCTGAGCTCCCCCGAATCATCATCATGTGGCCCCTCCCCAGCAGCAGCAGCAGTGCCGACCTCGGCACGCTGTGGCCCTCAGCGCCAGCAGCAGCAGCAGCAGCAGCAAGGCAGCCAGCGGTCCCCACCACAGCTGGCAACAGCAGGGGCAGCGGGCTTGCCGCCTACAGCCCGCGCACCTCCTGCCCCAGAGTATGTGGATCTCGTCACCCCTCCCCGCACCAACCTCGGTCGCCTGTCGCCGCCGCTGCAGCCCGCAGCGGACGCAGCTTGGCCCACCGGGCTTCGGTGCGGCGCAGCTGGAGGCAAGGCTGCGGTGCGGGAGCGGCGGCAGGCACGCGTCGCCGTGATTTCTGGCAGCCCGATTGACCTCACCCTTGACTCTGATACCGAGTAGCCCCTCCTCAGCGAGCACGCACTTTCATGCACATTCACAAGAACTGGGCTGTGCCACATGCACTCTGCGAGGCAGGGGCAGGAAGTCATGATCCGTCACACAGCACATAATGCTGCCTGCTTCCTGTTCCTGTCTCGCCTGCCAGTGGAATGAGGTTTATGTGGTTACACTCAGTGTGTTTGAGAGCAGGGCTGCCTAGGGCGCAGAATGGCCGCGTACCAGAGAGGCGGGCAAGGTGGGAGGGAGCTGGAAAGGGATCATGCTGGGCATGCTAGGGTAATGTGCGAGGGAATGAAATCGAGAGACGCAAGCCCTTTGGCGTTGGGAAGGGTCCGACAGAGGTGAATGGCTTGGCGGCGGCGCCTCCTTCTGCCGCTGAGCTCGCGGGCCGCTGCCGCCGCTGCTGCTGCTGCTACTGGGCATGTGCTGCGTGAGCAAGGCGGGTCACTCCGTCAGCACGCCAAGGATCTCGTCGTCACGGTACAGGTGGAACCTGCGTGCGTGGCGGGTGTGGGGGTTGTCCTGTCAGCAGCCAGCACGAAACAGCATGGCACCGCCGGGCATGGTGTCACCAGCAAAGGCATGCGGCGTGGTTGCAGCCACGTCCTGGCCTCCTAAAGCACCGGCGCAGGCAGGCAGCCTGGCGCCCCGCTCCCTGCCCCGCGCGCTGCATCCCCTCCCAAGGCCCAGCTCACTCCTTCTCCTCCAGCTTGACCGTGGTGCCGCCATAGTCGGGCAGCAGCACCTTATCCCCTTCCTTCACGCTCACGGGCACCAGCTCGCCTGCAGGAAAGCGGGCGCGAGGGACGGGCAGCGACATGAGCGACAGAGGGGCAGCGGTGCATGTGCCGTGGCGGCGGCGGCAGCGGCGGCGGAAACGGCAGCATCGCAGTGCAGACATCGGGCTGCAACCTGGTGACATGGCTTGCATGTCAAGCACACTGCGCTGGCACAGCGGCCAGCCAGCATGTCCCTGACGAGCGCGAGAGCAGCACACACGCACCGGTGTTTGTTCTCCGGCCCGGGCCGACGGCGACGACGGTGGCGGAGTTGATCTGCACACATGCGCGGTCAGAGCGGCTATCGGCGTGCCTCTGCCACATCGCGGGGGTGAGCATGCAGGCAGCTGCAGCACGCAGCGTGCAGGCACACATGCGGCGGCCCCGATGCTATTGCCCACCTTCTGCACGGCCGACTCCGGCAGCAGCACGCCTCCCACAGACTTGGCAGGAGGCGTGATCTTCTCCACCAGCACGCGGTCAAGCAGGGGCACAAGCTTCTTCAGGCCCGACATCCTGCGTGCTGCGGCCAAACCCTGAAGCAACAGGCGCCACCAAACGAAGTATGGATGTTACAGAGTCCGCAGCGGAGGCGATGGCATTGCCTGACTTCTAGAGCGCGCCGACGTGGCGCCGGTGAGGAGATCAGCACAAAGGAATTGCCTGATGATTGTCAGTGCGCATGCCCCAGTCGATCCCTGATCCTAGTGAGGCTGCAGAGCCCGCTGGCGACAAGAACCCCCTTTGACAATTCTCGCTGCTGGCGCCAGCCCGGCTCCAAGGGCATAGCAGACGTCCCACGGCAGTCGCTGTGATCCCAGCTCCCACCAGACGGCACAACGGTCACTGGGCGCCGCTGCCGCACTTTGCCTCTGCTGCGCTCAAACAGGTCACTGGTGCAGCATAGCCAACGCCTGTGAGCCCCCTCCGCCGCTCTCGCATACTGTACCCATGAGGGAGGCAGCACAGCCGAGCCCCAGGGCTACCGAGGCCCGCGCCGTGCTGGCGCGGAAAGGCAGCGGCCTGCGGCGGCGGACCCGCGGCACGCCCGACCGTCAGAACTCAGGAGGTGGGCTCAACGGGAAGGAAACGCTGCTGATCGACCAGGTGCGAGGCGGCACAGCTGCCGGGCGCCTGGCATGCTGTCGCTGCCGCCTGCCGGTGCTGCCACCGCCGGGGCCAGGCGCCCACGGCTTTCTCCCGCCCCTCCCTGCCCCACGTTTGGCAGCCAGGCGACGCCGCTGCCGCCGCATGCTGGCGACCTCCCTGCGCAGCTGCCGCCTCGCCACCCACCCTGCCCCTTGCCGCCAGCTGGCCGCCAACCATCGGCCGCGTGTCGTGCGCCCTGCCCTTGCGCCGCAGCCCCCGGCCTCCAAGTACCGCTCCTTCCGCACCCGCTTCATCTCTTCCATCGTCCTCATCGCCTCCTTCCTCACCATCATCTGGGCGGGGCACGTGCCCCTGATGTTCATGGTGCTGGGCATCCAGGCGCGTGGCGGGTTGGCTTTTGGCGGGTGGCTTTTTGGCGGGCGGCGGATAGTGTGTGTGTGTGTGACGTGTGTGTGTGAGTGTGTGTGTGTGTGTGTGTGGTGCTGCTATATCCACGCATTGCGTGGATTTTGGGGGAGGTGGGCTGCTGGCTGGTGCGGCGGTGCAGCGGGAGGTGGCGTACATGTGGGTCCGGCGGTGCTGGCGTGCCGTGCCGGGGCCTGGCCGCTGCGCCGACCCAGGCACTTGCCACACACTCGCCACACACAAGCCCGCCGCCAGCCCGGTGCAGCCCCCAGACGTGTGCGCCACCCCCGCCCCGCCCTGCCGCAGACCATGATGGTGAAGGAGCTCTTCACGCTGGCGCGCCACGCCCAGGCCGAGCGCAAGCTGCCCGGCTTCCGTGCCCAGCAGTGGTTCTTCTTCTGCGTGGCCGCCTTCTGGAGCTACGTCAGGTGGGGCTGGGTGGGCGGCGGCAGGCATGCATGTGCATGCGTGCGGCTTGGGCTTGGGCTTTGTGTGCTGGGCTGCGTGTGCGCGCGCGTGAGTCAGGCGGCGGCCGTCCCCAAGTGAGGGTGAGGGTGAGGGCGGTGCAACAACCCTTGGTCTTTGGTTGGCCCGGCCCTGCATCCCCGCCCGAGCCACCCTCGCCTCGCCCCGCCCCACGCCCCACACCCCACACCCTCCACCACCACACACACACACATGCCCCGCCCCGCAGGTTCATCAAGAACAACCTTGTGGTGGAAATCACCTCCTCCGCCCGCCTCGCCCGCATGTTTGGCTGGCTGCTCAAGCGCCACACCATCGTGTCCTTCTACCTGTACTGCGCCGGCTTTGTGAGGTGCGGGCGGGCTGCGCCCTGGCAGCAGCTGTGGCGTGGTGGGGAGGCTGCTGGTGCGGGTGCGGGGGCTATAGGCTGCCTTGTTTCTGTGCCGGTATCCCGACGCGGCGCTTTCACCTTGCCGCCTCCTTGCCCCTCTGGAGCAGCTTCGTGCTGACACTGAAGAAGGGGCGGTACACGTACCAGTTCGGGCAGTACGCGTGGACACACATGATCCTCATGGTGCGCTTTCTTCACTGGTTTTAGAGGCCTCTCGCCGCCCAAAGCCCATGCACCCACTCGGCACGCCCGGCGCCGCGCTCCACCTGCTCAGTGATTGCCACAGCACCGATAACAACTATCCAATACCACTCTCACCCCCCACACCACCCCACCACCACCACCACCGCCACGCCCGCAGGTCGTCTTCATGCCCTCCTCCTTCTTCGTGTCCCTGCTGTTTGAGGGCATCATCTGGTTCCTGCTGCCCACGGCGCTGGTCATCGTGAACGACATCATGGCGTACCTGGCGGGTGAGCCGCCTGCCCCTCTCAGCCGCCTGCCTGCCTGTTGGGGCTTTTCAGCCGCATTCTCAGCCGCATTTTCAGCCGCATTTTCAGCCGCTGTGCCTGACGCTCCTGGGGCGGGGCCCGCTGGCTGGGGCATGCTGGTGGGGCCAGCGTACTTGCTGAGGCCGGCGGGGCCCAGCTCCATCTTGTATCCATGATTGAGTGTGACCCAGCGCCATCCACCCACCCCCATCCCTGCCCTCAGGCTTCTTTTTCGGCCGCACCCCGCTGATCAAGCTGTCCCCCAAGAAGACGTGGGAGGGCTTCCTCGGGGGCTGCGTCGGCACAGGCACGCCGCGGCTGGCCGGAGCTGCCTGCTGCCACCCGCGAGGCGCTGCTGCAGCAGTCCCAGGGGGCAGGGAGCGGAGGGGTGGGCTGTGTCCGACCCATTCCTGGGGGGCTGGCCTGCCGCCCTTTGCCACGCCTCCTGCCTGCTCCTGCCAGCCTGCCCCGCCGTGCCCATGCGCACCGCCCCTCCCATCTCCCCGCCACTAGTCCCACCAACGCTGCCCTGCCTGCCCTGCCCTGCAGTGGTGGCCGCCTGGTATGGCGCCCTCCTCATGTCCCAGTTCAAATGGTTCATCGGCCCGCGCACGGTGAGCAGGGGCATGCCTCCCGCAGCCCGCTGCCCTCCCCGGCGGCGGCAGCGCTGGGCTGCTGCGCAGCGGCGTCGCCATGCGTGGCACAACACGCCGGTGCTGTCTCTAGCTTCACACCCAAGCCCCTCTGCCCTGACTTGCCGTCGCCGACTGCCGGGCTTGCCTGCCCTGCCTCCCGAGAGCCACCAGGCCCTGAGAACCATTAGGCCCCTCTAGCCCCCCCTCACTCCCTCCTGCCTCCCCTCACCGCCTGCTGCCTTCGCTCGCCGCCTCCCGCCGTCGTCTCTCATTGCCTGCCGCCTTCCCCGCGGGCCCCCACCCCTCCTCTCCTGCAGGACCTGTCCATTTGGAAGCCCATGCCGTGCGCCGAGGTGCCCGAAACCTTCCGGCCCCACACCTTCCGACTGGCGGACGTGCTTGTGAGCCTGGGGGTGGGGAGGCTGTGAGGGTCTGGCTGCGGGTGGCGGGCGTGGCGGTTGGGGGTGGTGACAGGTGTGGCGGTGGGGCTGGTGGCTGGGGGCGGTGGCTGGGGCTGGTGGCTGGGGGGTGGTGGCTGGGGGCTGGGTGCAACCTTTGGTTGGGCAAGTCACCCACCCGCAGCCGCCACCCAGCCGCCACCCGGCCACCCAACAGCATGCACGTCCCCCGTCCCTTCCCTTTCCCATGCCCCACTCCACACTCCCCTCCACCCCCACCCCCACCCCCCACATGCAGGACGATGCCAACCCCGCCCTCAACGACCTGGTGTACAGCGTTGGCGCCCTGCTGCCGCCCCGCCTGCGCGCCGCCATCGCCGCCTTCTCCTTCACATGCCTCCCCATGCAGCTGCACGCGGTGCGCCAGCAGGGCGCCCGCCGCCGCTGCCCTGCCTCACGCTGCGCCGCGCGGCCCGCGCTGCGCCCGCCCTGGCTGCCAGCCACCACTGGCCGCGCCTGCTGTGTGCTGCTGCTGGCTGCTGCGCGCTGCCGGCTAGGGGTTGGTGGACGCGGGTGCCCCCTCGCCTCCCCACCTCCCCATGCGGGCTGCGGCCCCGCTCGCCGCCTCCCCCTTCCCCCACCCCATGCACACACTGCACGCGCACACACCGCGCTGATCACCACACCGCCCGGCACACTCCCCACCTGACTTCCTTGCTCCCGCCTGGTTTCTTTCCTCCCGCGGTGCCCGCAGGTCTCCCTGGCCATGTTTGCCTCCTTCATCGCCCCCTTTGGCGGCTTCTTCGCCTCGGGCTTCAAGCGCGGCTTCAAGATCAAAGACTTTGGGGACTCCATCCCAGGGCACGGTGGCGTGACAGACCGCTTCGACTGCCAGGTGGGCGCCAGCTGGCGCCAGGTGGATGCCCCGGCGGGCGGCCCGGCGGGCGTTCCTCCACCTGTATGGAGTCGGGACGGGGCGCCCCCTACGCCTCCCTGGCGCAGCTGCCTGCCACTGGGGCTGCCCGCCTGAAGCCTGCACAGCACACGCTCCCCAGGCACATGTCCGATGAAGTTGGCGCCGCCTCTGCCCGCCCCACCCGTACCCCACGCTCATCGGCAACTCACATCGCCCTCGTGTGCCCCTGCTTTGGTTGAACAACACACATGGGTTAAACACTGTGTCCGCAGGTGGTGATGGCGGTGTTTGCCTACATCTACTACAACAACTACGTGGCCCCCAGCAGCGCCTCTGTGGGCACCGTCATGAGCGCGGCACTGAAGCTGACGCCGCTGCAGCAGGCGCGTGCCGCGTGTGTGCACGTGCGGTTGAATGAGGGTGTACCTGTGTGTGCACCTGTGTGTGTGTGTGCACCTGTGTGTGTGTGTGTGCACCAAGTGTGTGTGTGTGTGTGTGGTGGGATGGGCAGCAGGCAGGGGAGGTGTAGGACCTGCAGCCTGGTGAGGTCCTTCCGGGGCACCGTCTGGTGCCTATGTGGGAGGCAAGGCTGGGTTGGGAGCACGCTGCCGGCTGCGCTCAAAATGCCTTTTCCGATCCTGCCTGGCTCGCCGTGGCCGCCTCCGCCCGCCCCGCCTGCAGCTGGAGGTGCTGGAGCGGCTCAGCAACGTGCTGCAGAGCCAGCAGATGCTGGCGCCGGCGCTGGGCGGCGCGATAGCCAAGGCGGCCAGCGCGGCGATGGGAAGATGATTCTGGCGGGCTCTGGGCTGTCCGAGCAGCGGCAGGGCAGCGGCACAGCGCTGCTGCCGCTCCTCGGGCGCCAGCACAGGTCTTCCGCTGCTTCGCGTTTCTTCCAGACACTTTGCGCTTTACGGCCGCTTTCTCAGATCCCCACCATACCCACACAGCCTTTGGTACACGCACTAACCTCTCCACTTTTGTCTGCCGGCATCGGACCTTCCTTCCAATTTTGCTGCCCTGACTCTGTACCAACCCGACACTGCATTGCTCGCCTTCTTTGTGTCAAGGAGGCATCGCCGATGCACCAGAGCCACCGACTCTGTGTAATTTGTGGTTTCGAGGCGTCGCAGTGCAAGCCTAGGCAGCACCCGACAGCGTGCAGGAATCACACAGAAGAGAAACAACCAAGCGGACGTGGGCGTGCGCCGGCGCCGGTGGTCTGTTTTGATGCCCCAGCGCAGCCCCTCAGGGCTCTGCCGCCACTGGCGCTCAAAGGCAGCCAGCTGCGCCTCACTGCAGTCCAGTTCGGGGCGCTTGCAGACGCAGCTCACGGGCGGTGGCAGGCGCCATCGGGAGCTGTCGGCATGTTGCTTCCGTGCCCCTGCTAGCTCTTCCGCTCCCCTGTGCCATCCCCTATCTCGCTTGATGACAATGCAGCAATGCAACAGCAGTACCCCCAACCCAGCAAGGAAGCATAGGACGCTCTGGGGGCCGCAACAAGAACACACAGACAGAGAAAGAGGTGGGCAGGCAAGCTGTGGGCCGCACACCTCAGACCGAGTCCGTCGACTGGCTGCTGCTGAAGCTGGACGGCAGCGGCGGGGAGCCCGCCGTGCCGCCGCCGCCGCCGCCGCCGTTTGTCAGCGCGCGCGTCACGGTGGCGGCCATGGCCGGGGGAGGGCTGGGGGGCAGGTCATGGCTGTACAGCTCCTCGATTGCCAGGTAGCCACCGTGTGCCCTGCAGCAGCGCCAACAGGGGCAGCCCAGCCTCAATGCAAGACATCCAGGCTAGCGCTGCTGGGCCTAGAGGAGCAGAGCGGCCGGGCATGGGTATGCACCAGCCGTGGAGGGTATAGCCGCGGCGCCCATCAGCGCACCTGACAATCTGTTCCGCGCCCCGCAGCAGCTCGGACAGCACAAAGGCCTGCCGGGGCGCCACCTGGCGCCGCAGCAGCGCCTGCAGGGCAGGCCGGCGGTGTTTGTGTGTGGGAGATGTGCGATGTTGCCGTTTCACCCAGCCGCCAGCCCCTCCCACAGCACTCTCCCTTCATGACCCTGGGGACCCCACTCCCGCCATAGCGCTTACGCGCCTGCACATCACCCTGCCAACCGCCCCCTACGCTCGCCCACACGACATGCCCACCCGCAGCGCCAGCTGCGGCCCCGTGGTAGTGAAGTCAGCCAGCACGCAGCGGGCAGTAATGGCCTGGTCCACATCGGGGTGGGAGCTAAGGTACTCTGCAGTACATGCAGGCGGTACATGCAGTACAGGTATACACAGGCGTCCAAGTGGCAGGCAGCAGGTAGGCAGCAGGTAGGCAGCAGGTAGGCAGCAGACGCAGCGACAGCTCGGCGCCCGTAGCAGGGCATGTGTGTGCAGAGGCCAACACTGTCAGCCGCACCCAGCCTGTAAAGAAAAAGCAGGCTGGCTGCCTGCACAGCCACCCACCCGTGATGTCCTTCTCGATGTGAGCCAGCAGGTCGACGTCTCTGTACCGCAGGGTCAACTGCAGTGCAAGACGGGCGGCAGGAAGAAAGCAGCGACGTCATTACTCCTGCTACCCTCCCCATCTGTGCTCGCTTTACCCCGCAAGTCTGCCACCTGCGGCCTGTCCCCCTCTGCCCCTTCCCCCCCCCCCAAAGAATATGCTTAGAAGAGAAACAACAACTCCCCCGCCGGCCTCCCACCGTGGCAGTGATGAGCGGCAGCTTGGGCAGCACGCTGTCACGGCGCAGCTTGCTCTCGTTCACCACAATCAGGTTCATCACGTCCTGGAGAGAAGAAGGGGCAGGCGAGCGCAGACGCAGCAGCGGGAGATGGTCGAGCAGCAGCGCTTGAGCCCCCGCGCTGGGGTGGGGAGGTGGGGGTCCAGGCTGCCTGCCGACGGTGTGGGCCAGGTAGAGTGCATCAGGCTAGACAGCCAACAGCTGATTGGCGCCACAGCAGCGCACCTTGTTGTTGATGTACACAGGCAGCTTGTTGTCGCCCCGCACCACGGTGCGCATGGGAGCGATGTTTTCTACCACACCTGCATGCAGGCAGCGGCGGCAGCAAAGGAGGAGGCACAGGCGCGCCTTGGCTTGCGGGGCAGGCAGGCAGGCGGCAATCCTGTCAAGCGCTGCCGCAGCCGGCCCAGCTGGCTGCCTGTCAGAGCAGCTTCCGCTCCTGCTGCAGCTGTCTGCCTAGCTTGCCTGCCACGATGACCGACCCCCCCAGGCTCTTCAGCTGGATGCGGTCGCCCACGATGAAGGGGCGGGACGAGTACTGCGGGCAGGCAGTACAGGGGGAGATGAGGGGGCACTCGTGCACAAAACGCTTGAGACACGGGGCACGGGGCAGGCGAGGTGGCACGGCAGCACGGCACGCTCACGATTTGCAGCGCCGACACCACGTTTTGCATCGTGCTCTGCGCCGCAAAACCGACGGCCACTGCAGGGAGCAGCAGGGCACAGCTCCAGTCAGCTGGCTGCGATCAGCATGGGACTCACCGCAGTGCGGTCCGTCCTGGGTGCATGCAGCGGCTTGCGGCAGACGAAACAGAAGCCGTGCCCACGAGCGTGTTGGGCAGCCTGGGCAGGCGCCCGCCCTGCCTTCCACTGGCATGGCATGCCGCGCCCGCACCCGTGCCGATGCTGCCGACGGCCAGCAGGGGCTGCACGTTGACCCCAAAGGCGTTGAGGGTGACCATGGAGGAGGCCACGACGATGGCCTGAAGAAGAAAAAAGGGGAAGCTTAACAGAAGGGTGGCCGGCGGATGGGGAAAGAGACTTAATGTGAAAACGACATGTAGTTGAGATCGGCCCGGTGGAGGTGGAGGTGGAGGTGGAGGCGTGTGGCGCACCGCACCAGGCCTCCACGAACCTCAACCTCAACCTGGCAGCTGCGCAGCACGCTGCTATCATTGGCGCTCGGAAGCTGGGGCACCCGTGGGCGTGCAGGGGGCTCCAGACAGGCTGCTCCCTGGCACACACAGCCCAGGTGGCACCACCCCCTCTCACCCATGACAGCAGGTTGCTGAAGGGCACCAGCACGCGGGCCAGGTTGGGCTCGTCGCCCCTGCAGGGCAGCGCACCCGCAGGTGCCAGCTGAGGTGCCAGTCCAGGCATGCTAGCGTAGTACGCACATCAACGGGCACCATAGGTTATACGCCAGCAGGTACCAAGCACTGGCGGGCACCCAATGCTGTCGGCAGACAGGGCACCGATACGCCATCAGGCAGCGAGGTACTGCGCCAATAAGCCAGCAGGCAGCGAGGTACTGCGGAAATACGCCAGCAGGCACCGAGGTACTGCGGTCCTCTCACGTGCTGCTCTGCATCTTGGCCAGGACCGTATTGATCACGTGATCCTTCCAGGAGATGAGGAACCAGGCCCTGCACGGGGGTGGGACGAGGGAAGGGCAATGCGGGGCATGCCGGGCAATGGCAGGGCATGTCGGGACCAGAGGGACGTGGGCCAGGGCCAAACAACAGCAGCAGACCATAGGGTGTCTGATACACAGCAACAGCAAAAGAAGAAATGGCAGGAAAGGGGAGCGCACGGTGCGCCTGGGCCCGCGCATGCACGGCAGCCCAGCGTGCACGGCAGCCCAGCGTGCACGGCAGCCTGCCGGAGCAGCCAGCCTCACGAGAAGATGATGAGCACCAGCTCCGACGTGTCCTGCATCAGCTGGGAGGTGTGGTTGAAGAAGTCCAGCAGCTGGGCGGCCGCCAGGTCTGCGGCGGCGGGGGGGGGAGGGGGGGGGGGGCAATCACGGGCGTGCTTGGTTGGGCAGCGGCGTTGCAGCGGGGATAGCCCCATCCAGGCCACCGCAGGAAACATCGCGGCATCGCGGCTCGCAACCTTCCTCCCATGTCCATCCAACCGACGCCATCAAACTGACTGAACCCCAAGAGCAGCCACCAAACCCCAAAACTCAACAGGCCAGCCACCCAAAGCGTGAAAGGCCAGCCACCCAAAACTGAAAAGGCCAGCCGCCCCCCGCCCCGTGCCTCACGCGACATGGTGTGCACGCTGCTGTCCAGGCGGGCCACTACCACGTCGGCAAAGGCGGAGGCCACCAGCAGGATGTAGAAGAAGCCGTACCTGCACCACACCGTACCGCACCAAACCCAAGCATGGCCTTCAGCACGCAGCGCTGATACATCTGATAACAGCGCCTCGGACACCGCTTGTCCGAGACCACAGGCCGCACGGGGTGCGCGGGTGGGTGGCACACGGCGCACCAGGGCAGCAGCACCAGCGCGGGGCGGTGCACCGAGGCCAACGCCGTGGCAAAGAGCAACTCCAGCCCGCTGCTGCGCCGCATCCGCTCGTTCACCGCCTCGAGCTGCAGGCAGGCAGGCAGGCAGGCAGGCAGGCGGGCAGGCCCGGAGAGCAACGTGAGGTGAGCAGCGGGGGCCCGCCGGCAGCAGCCCCGGGCCTGCTGACGCTCTCCCGACGGCACGCGGCGGTGCTGCGCCGCCGCTGCCGCCTCACCTGCGCTCCCACCAGCGCCAGCAGCTTGTTCCCTACCACCACGCCCACCACGGTTGCCGCGATGAGGCCCAGCGACCGCACCGCCGCCTGCTGCAGCGTCATCTGTTGCAGCACCTCCAGCAGCGGCACGCCCC